GACAATGGGAACGTATACCGGCACCGAGGACTTCAGCAAGCCCGTGGTTCGACAGCTTCAGGTGTGTTTTCCTTTTTCCTTTCCCTTTCTCTCTGCATAGCCTCAAGGAGCATCATCCCGGCTCTAACGTGTAATACAGATCGAAAGGAAATTGGCCCCTTTCTGGCGCGGTCTGAGTGACTGGTCCGATAATTGGGCAGAACATCAACTTGTAGCAGCTGCTCGGGGCCTGCCAGTCCCGGCCGCCGATGCGCCTCCCGACCCTGATCTAATTCCTCGCCCTTCACCACCTCAACCTGAAGGGGCGAACACTCACAGCTTGCAGAATCTAACCGTTCCAATGGGTCCTAGAACTCTATCTGCCGCCTCAGATCGTAGTGGCTCTGGGGCCGGCTCTGCTATTCATTCTCCAACGACAGCAGCACCTCCCAAAACATCGTCAATCAAGCCGAGGGCCAAGGCACTCGCAGCAGCTCTCAGTGTGGGCTCCAGAAATGCTTCATCTACTGACTTGTCCCCAAAGGAGGTGCCTCTACCCCATGACCCATTTGTTAATGGACAGCCAATCGAGGTGTACCTGTACAAGGACGCGTCAGAATGTCCCATTTGCTTTCTGTCCTACCCCCCCTATTTGAATCGCACACGATGCTGTGATCAGCCTATCTGCAGCGAGTGCTTTGTGCAAATAAAGCGAGCTGATCCTCATCTGCCTGAGCATCATCCGAATGGCGAAACCAGGGATCCGAATGAGGAGCCCAATCCGGAAGACCCGCCCGAGATGCTGATATCTGAACCATCAGCATGTCCCTACTGCCAACAGCCTGAATTTGGCGTTACATACGAGCCCCCGTCTTTCCGAAGAGGTTTGGCTTATTCAACCTACGCATCTAATGTCGCTTCGTCAACCGCAATGTCCTCGCAGAGCTCTCTCAACTCGACGCTTTCTCCATCAAGCCCGCTACATGTCTCGAGGCGGCGAACACATAGCTTGTCAGCAACCGCCCCTAATGTCATCACAACTGATCGAGTGCGTCCGGACTGGGCGACAAAGCTGGCCTCTGCTCGTGCTCATCAGGCACGCCGGGCCGCAGCAGCCACGGCCCTGCACACTGCCGCGTTCTTGGTCGGAGCCCAGGAAAGTAGATCCATTCTCCGTCCCGGCAGGTTTGGACGAAGGAGTACTGGGACAAGTACTCCTGGAAACGAACAAACGCACAACAACCCCGGCGAAGCGGAGGCTGACCCCGACGAAAGGGCATCTAGTCGGAATGCCGACGGTAGCCGTCGGACTCGAATGGAGGAACTCGAAGATATGATGTTCATGGAGGCTGTTCGGCTGTCCCTTGCGTCAGAAGAGGAACGGAAACGAAAAGAAGAGAAGGCCCTACGTAAGGAAGCCAAGAAACGACAGCAAGCGGAGAAGAAGGCTCAGAAGAAGGCAAACAAAGACCCTTATGGAGGGAACATTAGCGGTGCCAGCGGAAGTAGTCTTTCCCTGGGCCTTGGCCGAAGGCGTGGCAATAGTGGAGCCAGTGCCTTGAGAGTTGAGGCTACCTCGCAGGGAGCTTCGCAGAACACAAAGGGGGAGGAGGAATCGTCAACTGCCGAACCCGAAACCACGGGCGAGCTTCCGGGGAAGGGCAAAGCCGTGGATCGTGGACCAGAGGATGCTACGGCACCGGGAAGTTTTGCTGCCGCCTCGCTTCCCATTCCCCCTAGCCGTTCTCGTGGTGGCTCACATTTGCGACAGATGAGCAATGCCTCCTCACTTGGATCATCGCTCGTCGACACGCCCTCTGGAAGCTACACCGGACCAGGATTTACTGGAGCTGATGGTACGGGTTCGCGATCTGAAGGCGATCGAGACACCGGCAGTGAACCCATGTTCAACTTTCGCAGCCTGGCTGAACTGGTAGGAGTGAACATTGATGACGGATCTGCACACCGGGATGAAGGAGAGGCTTCATCAGGCCACCCCAAGGACGCAACAAGTCGTCCCTTGTCACACGTAAAAGAGGAAGAAAAGGAAGGGGCAGAAGCTGAGCACGTGGAGAAAATGTGCGCTGAGAAAGCTGGTCAAGAAGAAAAGAGATCACTACCCGCGTTGAGTAGTGAATCAACGGCTGTCGAAACTATCGGCGGCAGCGAGCTGTCCCCAAAGGTCACTATAACCCCCGGCACTCCTATGCCAGATGACAATGTCCACAGTTCAGAAGCTAAGCAGCTGCATCACCCAAGTGTGCGTGTGCAACCGTCCGAAGCCATGCATTGAAGTGGAAGTGGCTTAATGGGATGATGAATGGCTTAGATGACGGGAATGGGCGCCTGGATGCACTGCTGCTTATATACATATACATGTTTCTTATGATGGTGGGTGTGCCCAATTTACGAAAGCGAAGGTGATGATTTGAAAGTGGCATTACAAAAATTGGGTCATGGATGGAGTTCTCAGCGTTGGGTCGGCAAGCAGTCTCAATAGGCAGCTGCGGGTATTGATGCCATATTTAAAACGATTCATTGTCGCTTGTGATGCAAATCAAAAGTGACAGGTGCTAAAACGGTCACGCCTGGTAGTTTATTCCGGAGCGGTGGAACAATATATCAGACACAGAGTGAACGCGTGGCTGAGCTTGGCGAGCAGATCAAATGCCCGATGGAGCTGGGGAAATGCGCTAGCTTACGAGGAATGCGATTCGGCACCGTGCCATCTGACGGGACCATACGGAGTACTGGGGCACATGCACCTGTAACGACCTCTACGTACTTATTGACAACATTAAACTTGATTGCGTAAACCACATCCATTCGGCAGCCTGGTTCCTTCCCAACGTCGAGTGCATGCGACTTGTTCAGACGCAAACCATGAGTCGCATCTCCACGACCCCTCGGCCAAGAAGGATCATTCGCCCCTCCCCACAACACGTTTACATGAACAGCGCATCGCGAAACATGGACCGCTCGCCAGAGACCCGGGACGGCGAGGCTTCGGGACGACGTGGGTGCGGCATCTGCCAATTCCTGAAGCGCAGCACGTCCCCCCGGTGCGGGAGGCGGAGAGACGTGTTCTGGGTAAAGCTGCTTGCGTGGCGGGACATGCAGGACCACGAAAGGCCCGAGAAGGACAAAACACAAGGCTAGCTAATAATTGAAGCCGTGGTGCAAAAAAAAACAAAAAAGGACGTTACGGACGCGCTTGGGGTGGCGTGCTTCAACTCTGGCATTGAGGGTGTGTCTATGTGCCCCCTTGAGACCATTATATCTTTTTTATTTCCGCCTGGAACTTGTCCGTCCATTCTGAAAACGCATCCCGTCCATCTTGCCAATCTTTCGCAAACAACTCGCTGGCGGCAAAGGCATCCAGGAAGCACTGGTCCATGGTCTTGTCAATCTCGGATGGCTGCAGCTCGTAAAAGGCGCATGCTAGATCCCCGAAGCTGTCGGGTAGCTTGGCGAGAACCTTGGCCATTTCGTCCAGGCGAGAGGGGACGTTGGAGTCGGGGGTTTGGGGTGGGAGCGCCGGCAGCTTTTTGAGGCGGCGCTTGGTGAGGGCTTGGTAGAGGAGGGTGACGAGGCGGAGGCGCTTGAGGGACGTTTCGAGACGGGGCCGGATGCGGTCTGGGTCGGAGGAGGGGATTGTTTGATGCGAGTTCATGAGGGAGTCGAGCATGGCTTGGGCGGAGAGGGATTGGGAGCCGAGTTGGTCGGCCAGGTTGTTGACGTCGGGGTCGGAGTCGGAGTCGGAGTCGGAGTCTGGTTCTTCGTCACCCCATTCCTTCATCTCTTCCATGACGTCGTTGAGGATATCCCTCCACTGGTCGACTTTTTGGATAAAGAACCCCCCCACGCCCATTTTCGCAAGGTCAATGACATTGTCGCATGCCGACCACAGGAGACCCGTGGCTGGCAGACTGCCCTTTTCACCCTTTGCAAACCCTTCCCTCTTACTTTCTGAAAGGATCTTGCCGTCGTTGGGGATCTTGTGTAGTAGTTGTTGGAGTTCGGAGAGGACGCGCTGCGCACGCCAGGCTAGTTCTCTGCGGACAACGGCCGTGTATTGCTTCGGCGCACATGCTTCGGCAGCGGAGACTAGTCCGGGGATAGGGCCTGCGACAAGCTCCCGCACGACGGTTGACACGGCGCTCGGCGTGAATGGCTCGTTGATTATCAGGAGGGAAATCTTGGTGCCGTGGGCGCGGATGAGGGATGCGGAGTCGTGGGCGAGCGACAGGGTATTGATCTTTGGGTCTGGCTCGGGAGACGGCGAGGACGAGCTGGCGGATGCGGAGTCGGGAGCTTTGTGTATTTCAGATAGAACGGCTTGAAGTTGAGTCAGGAGGGCGGAGGCTGTTTGGACGAGGGACTCGAGTGCCTTGATGTTGTCTGTGTCTTTTGGAGGCATTTTGAATCTTGCGGGTCTTGCGGACGAGCTTTCGGAATGTACTTGTGATTTGATAATGATGTAGTGCCATATGACGTTTGAATATGATTTGGCGACGAATAACAGTGGCTACTATGGATGTGGCCGTTTCATGCGTCACCTCTTGGCGATGATTGCGGCGTTGGAGGCTTCAACGGCGGGAGATGTCAAGTCGTCGTCAACTTTTTTTTTCCTTTGCGCTTACTTGGGTCGTTCGAAGGAGGGGCATTTTTAGATGGCTGGACCCCTCACCAGAGGCCCAGATCTCCAGAAGTCAGCTTGAGGCCAACCGGTCAAGTTCATTTGCTGGCCTGGCGTCAGGCACTGGGGCACCTGGGGCTAGAAGGCCGAGCATTTGCCGCCTGTGGGTCTGTACAGCTTGCAACGTCAACCCTTAGGGGCCCCTGGAGCTCAACCTGTCTGCCCTGAGCCAGACATGAATGCACATGTGGGTAACACGGACTGTGACCCATTGACCCAATCGGTCACCGTGTTCAGATTCGCCTCGGCCAGGCACCGTGTATTGGTCGAGCTTCCTCCGCCATCCTCCTTCACCATATCCATCACCACATCACTGCTCACGATGCAGCACCCACGTTCTTTGGTGCTGCTGGGCGCCGCTTCTTCCCTCGCCGCCGTTGCTGCTGGCAGCTTGCCGCGCGGTGTTGGGCCCGAGTGTAAGTTCTTGTGTCTGCATCCAATTGACGGGAGCTGGCATTTCTATTTCTACCTTCCCGCAAGCCGCGACTCCATTCGACATCTCTCAGTTGGCCCAATTGCTAATCGACATCGTCGCAGTTGCCTCCCACTACCAAGGCAAGACCGAGTTCAGCTGCATCTCGGATGCATCCATCAAGCTGAGCTTCGACCGGGTGAATGACAACACCTGTGACTGCCCAGATGGCTCCGACGAACCTGGCACCGCTGCGTGTGCGTACATCGACCCTCTCTCCCCCGAGCAGCCACTTCCAGGCTCCGGATCAGCCTTGGCAAAAGCTCAGCCTGCGCTTCCCGGGTTTTGGTGCCAGAACAAGGGCCACATTGGTTCCTACGTGCCATTCGTCTATGTCAACGACGGCATGTGCGACTACGACCTCTGCTGCGATGGCTCCGAGGAATTCGGCCATGTCGGGGGTGTCAAGTGCGAGAACCGCTGTGTCGAAATCGGCAAGGAATACAAGCGGCTTGCGGACGAGAAGAGGCAAAAGATGCAGAGGGCGGCCAATCAGAAGAACGCTATGCTGAGCGAGGCGCAGCAGCTTCGCCAGAAAGCTGAAGCCAAAATCGCCCAATTGAACACGGAAATCAAGAGTCTCGAAGTGAAGAAGGCCGACTTGCAGAAGAAGTACGCCGCCGCCCAACTCCAGGATAGGGGCCGAGTGGTGAAGAGCGAGGGGGCTGGAGGCAAGCTTGGTGTCCTGATTGGCGTGGCCAAACCCCGGGTCAATGAGCTGCGCAACACGCTCAACAAGGTGATGGAGCAGCGCAATGATCTTCGCTCTCGAGTGGAGGAGCTGGAGACGATTCTCGGCAAGTTCAAGGACGAATACAACCCCAACTTCAATGATGAGGGTGTCAAGTCTGCCGTCAAGTCTTGGGAGGACTACGCTGCCAGGGAAGCCGACATTGTTCATGAACAGGTCATCGACGCTGATGTGGAGGAGATTCTCAAAGAGGATAGCGAGAGCAGCGGCATCAACTGGGCTGAGTTTGAGAGCGGCGAGGAGGGCTCCGACACTGATATCTGTGAGTGAAACCAGCTTTTTTCGAGGCCTCTCGAGAGGTTTTTGACTGTAGCATTGCGGCCACTTGACGACGCCAACACTCGACTAACTTTCTGTAGTGTATACTTTCGATGCCTATCTGCCTGGCTTCCTCCGTGTATTCATGCACGACAAAGTGACTGCTGTGAGGCTCTGGCTCATTCAGAATGGCATCCTGGCCGACAGTGGTGCCTCTGGGTCGGAATCACAGGTGGTCAAGGCTGCTCGTGAGGCGGCTGAAGCAGCGGAGAAAGATCTCGAAGACAAGGTTCGCGATCGCGACAACGAGACGGAGGACCTCAAGAAGGACTACGGGCCTTTTGACATCTTCCGCGGCATCAAGGGCAAGTGTGTCAGCATCGATGCCGGCGAATACGAATATGAACTCTGCTATCTCGACAAGACGATGCAGAAATCCAAGAAGGGTCACGGGCATACCAACATGGGCAATTTCGTCCGCATCGACCGCCAGCTGGCTGACGACGAGGAGAGACTTGACGGGAAGAGTCTGGGCAAGGGCGAGCGCATGGTTCTCAAGTACGAGGACGGACAGCAGTGCTGGAACGGTCCCCGACGAAGCACTGAAGTTTGGCTTGGATGTGCAGACAAGGAAGAGCTCTGGCGAGTCAGCGAAGCGGAAAAGTGCGTGTACAAGATGGAGGTTGGCACCCCGGCTGCTTGCGACGACCCGGCGCTACGAGAGGAGAAGAAGGACGAGCTGTAGATGCGAGGCGGAATATTGGTTGAACTAAATGTATGATGGCGAAAACAGGACCCTGTAGAGAATCGGGCCGTGCCGACAGCTGTAGAAGGCCAATATATTTGCATAACTTATATCGCCTCTGGATGGAGTTTGACATGGCCAACAGACTCACAATCATCCACGTGGGTTCTTGCGTTTCTACTCCGTACACTACGAATGATGAGGTGCATGAGACCCACAGCGCTGGATGTAGTTCTGTGATGCGGAACACAAGCCCGCACTGTAGACGTCGTCAACCCTGGGTTACGACATGTCGAGACGGCTGGGCATGGTGAAGCATCTTGAAGCACCCACGGTTTATCTCGGCAACGAGTGTTCTCACCGCTTGCAAAAATTACCACGGCAAGCTCACTTCGACCCCGTCCTGCCTGTTCTCACCTAACCACGCGAATCTCAACTCAACTTCCCCAAGATGAGACGGCTGTCAACCCTGCCCAGAGGGACAAAGCGCCTGTACGGCATATGCCTGCATCTCGCCGTCGGCGCCTCGATATGGGGTTACAACATTGGCATCCTCTCCTCGGTGCTCGTCCACCCGGGCTGGCGAGAGGCCCTTGACGATCCGGCGCCGGCGCAAATTGGCCTCGTAACGGGCGTTTATTACCTGGGCACGCTGTTATCCTTCACGTTGCTATCACATCCGCTGGCGGATTACCTGGGCAGACGGAGAGCGGCCATTATTGGGACTTGCGCCTTATGCCTCGGCGCTGTGTGCATGGCGGCTGCCAACGGCGGTGCGGCCGTGGGGATCATGGCTCTCGGGAGATGGATTTGCGGCGTGGGCGTCGGGGTCGTGAGCACCGCGGTGCCGCTGTATCAGAGGTGCGAGCATGGATTCAACGCTGTTTTTCTCGAATGACGTCCCTAACGCCGCGGTAGCGAGGTGTCGCCCGCCAAGGAGAGAGGCAGGCTCGTCACGATGAACCACGTCGGGTTCATCGCCGGACTGGCCTCTGGCCTGTGGTATGCGCCGCTGCTTATTGATTAGTATCCCGAGTCTCGGCTGAAGCTCACGCGTCGCAGGGTCGGATACGGCATGACATTCTGGACCTCCGACGCAGGCAGGTACTGGGGATGGCGAGACTCCATCCTCCTCCAGTGCGTCCCGGCGGCCGCCTTCCTCGCCGGGCTCTTCTTCCTCCCAGAAACGTCTGCCGCCCCCTCTTCCCTTCCTGCTCTTCCTTGATTCGCAAGAAGACGGCGTTCTAACACCAGAACCAAAACAGACCACGGTGGCTCCTTGAAAAGGGCGATGGGGACGCCGCCTCCAAAGTCCTCCACTACCTGCGCGAGGAGGCCATGCCCGCCGAGGCCATCACGCACGAACTGCACGCCATCAGCGCCGACGTCGAATCCCGGCGCAAGGCTGGCACGACGCTCGTCTCGCTGTCCCTCTCGCTCTTCCGCGACGCCAGTCTGTTCGCCCGGCTGTGGCGCGCGTTCCTCCTGCAGTTCATGGCGCAAATGTGCGGCGCTACAGCCATCAAGTACTACCTGCCCACGCTGCTCAAGGCCCTCGGCCTGGAGTACAGGCTGGCGCTGATGGCGGGCGCCGCGGAAATGACCGTCAAGATTGCCATGACGATTGTGGAGATGTGGGCGATTGACAGGTTTGGGAGGAGGGCCTGCATGACGGGCGGGAGCTTGATCATGGGCGTTGCCATGCTGGTTAGTGTTCCTCTTCCTCCTGGTTCTCATCGAGAGAGGGGGGGTGAGAGAGTAATGCCTGTTCTAACGGAGACGAGTCTAGGTAAATGGTCTTTTGCCCATAATGTACCCCGGGAATGAGAACAAGGTGGCAGACATCATCTGCATCGCATTCATATTCATATACGCCATGGGCTATAGTCTTGGCCTTGGCCCTGCCGCGTGGGTATACAGCACTGAGGTAAGAACGTCGTTGTTTTCACGGATGCTCATATTGGAGTCCAGGACGGGACTAACTCATTCCCCCTTTTTGGGGGTCAGACAACAGATCTTCCCGACTTCAGTACGAGCTAGGGGCCTTAATTTTGCTGCATCAGGTGGTTCCATTGGCAGCATACTCGTTTCTCAGATCTGGCCTGTTGGAAATGCCAAATTTGGCAGCGGGATATACTTTTTCTTCATGGTGGTCAACTTTATATGCGTACCGGTATGATATACTGGCCCAAATCGTCGCCCATTGTCGTGCAGTACAATAGCCAAGAATGGCAAACTAATCAATTTGGGCCTAGGTTATTTGGCTTCTATATCCAGAAACAAAAGGTAGAGAATTGGAAGATATGGACTGTCTGTTTGGAAAGTCCGAGGAAAGAAACGCAACTCTCTCTCTAGGCGGAGTAGCTGAAGACGTAGGCGAAGATGGAGGAGACATGCTGTCCACGACAGCAACCCACGAAGAGGATGAACCACTGCTGCCATGATATGAAACAAGTCCAGGTATTCAGGAACTAGCCAGAAACACAAAATAGAGACCAAGCATGCTGCTTTGCATGAAACACCGATATTCATTAAACCGTAAACTGGTTGTCGTCATTGCTCAACGCAGCAGAACAAGTCAACTTGCAATATTGGCCATTAGTCAAGGTATCATTGAGGCTGGGAGGGAGAGCCCAACGTTGCGATAGAAGAAACCCTGGTTTATAGTACATTCCACCTCCTAAAATATACACCCAACAAACTCCGGCTATTATACTTTGCAACTGAACCAGAGCAGACAAAGAAACACTGAGCAACCAAGAGAGAGGCGCCCTGACTCTGTATACCTGAAAATCGGAGATGTGCTTACCAGAAGCTACACCAGCCGATGTAGTGTTGGCAGAGATTCTCCAGTTTCGTAGCTTCAACAATCAGCTTATTGACCTGATTGATCACATCCAACTCCTCATTATTCTTGAAGTCTCGGCCGGTGAGCTTCTGTTGCACCCGATCTAGCACCTCAACCGCTCTGGCGTTTTGGCTCTCCGTCTCCTGCGCACCATTAATGCCGTTACCATCAGGGGCCGCCGAGCTGTTCGTACGTGCCCTTGCCCTGGATGTAGGTGGCCCCGACGGTTCGCCATTAGCAGCAAGGAGCTCAGACGGCGCAACATCTGCATTTAAGATTGAATGCCGGCGAGCACGGCCTGCGGTCGGACCTGCAAGAGCCACTTCGCGCTCAGATTGGAAATTAGGTCCAGCAGGTGACACCGTACTTGTCAAGCGCCACGTCAAGAGAGGATCATGAATAAACTGTGTAAATGTTAGAATTACGTTACAAGATTCATCACGCATTAAACAAGTAGCACATACCGCTTCCAAGACAGCCAACACGCTTTCTTTGTTCTCCCTGAGCACTCGCATAACATGCTCACATGTTATACGGAAGCTACCTTCGATATTGCTGACTTCCATGGCGTATGTCAACATACGAGTAAGTCGGAATGGAACCCTCTCGGGATACTTTTCACGCTTCATTGCCACTTCGAAACAGTCTCCGAAATCGATGTGAATGATTTTGCCCGTTATACGATCGAGCATCAGGTTTGACGGATGTCGATCACCTAAGCCGAGAATGTAACCAACCATCGACATTACACCCAAAGAGCGAGTATAGTTGGTTCGCCGTTCGAGCCATGCTTCAGATGATTTGGACTTCAGCCACAGGACACGGTATAGGTCCTGACCAGTAGTATTGTCAAGCGCATAACCGAATACTTCTACCTTCTGCATCAAAGTGAGATTATCATAATCAGGCGCCATTTGCAGCATGATGCGATGCTCAATGTTCAGCAGGATCTTGCGGCTTTCACGGTACTCCCGAATGAGAACGTGAAGAGTATCAGTGTTTGGCAACCAACCAAAAAGACCCGAGTTCTGTGAGAGCGGAATAGCAGGATAACGGTGGATGTTCAGATGTCGTTTGGAACATTCAGAGTCGTTGGCCAGCAGAGTGTTACAGAGACCAAAGAGCTGCATGACTCGCTCGTCCTGCCTGATATCTTCATGACCCTTAAGGAGGAAGGCATACGATACACCATCACTGCCACTGAGTATAAGCTTTCGCGGCCGTTGCTTAGAATTGATGACACTGAGTGTAGTATCAAATGACATGATTCTGACGACTGGCTGGCCGCTTCTGTATGTTCCGGGGACTGCAAGATCCAAATCCTTGGAGTTGAGGAGCTTTGGCGAGCAATATGTAAGCTCAAGGCTCGTGACTTGCGGTAGCTGCCTAGTGATCCTTCGGAACACCTGATAATAGAGGTCCCAGGCCTGGTTGAGGTCATTCACATCCTTCGAACTTTCATACTGGTGGCACCATTCTTGTGCCTCCTTCAAGTCCCGTCCAAAAGCTTGCGCGAATGAAATTTCACGCAAGGTTTCAGGTCCACGCTCGAGAAGATCATGTAGGGGGCCGAGAGTTTCGAACATGCCTTCAATATTGTGGTCACCAAAGTAAAGACGAGAGGCCTCCTCCAGCCCTTCATGCCAAAGTTCGTGCCAGAGAACTGCAACACGAATAAGCTCATGAGAGACGATGTCGGCTTGAGCAACCAGATTGGCACTGTGTTGCCTCATGCTATCCATGATCTGCGCCGCGGAACGGGACCTCCTTGAATTTTGCCATGATTTCATCGCCACCGTCAAGGGATATACAAGAGCTTGAGGATGGGCCCTGCCAACATCGGCCAGTAGATTATGCACAGCCTGCTGCACCCGTTTGTTAGGCTGGTTAATTCGAGCAATGAGCTGTGGAATGACTTCCAGCCAGGTGTCCACAGAGACGTTGCTAATGCCTTCCATGACAGCTGCATTAACATCTGCGCTGCCGCCGTGTGAGAACCACAGAGTTAGCAGGCGGAGCGTGTCTTGGAGGGAGCTTCCGACTGAGAGGGCGATAGACTTGAAGAATCCCTGAATGGCAGGAACCACGTGCTCAATAAGCAGCGTTTGGTCTGCTCTGGATAACTGGCTCTCGGCCCTGGCCGACAAAGTCTGGACAATCTCAAAATTCGCCAATGCCCAGGCATGCCAAGCTTTGTACCATCGAGGGTTGTATTTGGTTGCTTGGGAATACGAATTCAGGATTTCCTGCACCTTGCTGTGCTGCCAATCATTCTTATTCAGGGCAATAAGCCACTCTCCTTGACGCAGATAGCATTTCGCCAGTAAAACGGTCTGGTCATACAAGGCCCGTTGGGTCTGGGGGCTCATCAGGGACGGATCTATCTGCCCCTGAATTCCATAATCTGTCGGAAGATTGCCATCGGTGCTGCCAGCTTGAGCAGCGAGGTGGGCCTTAGCCACATCCAGTCGATGTGCGGTGTCGTTTGTAAACCTCTGCAGGCAATATAGCGTCCTCTCTGAAATGCCCTGTCGCCTTCCAGCGGGCTGTTGGCCAAGTTCCCACTCATATTTGAGCATGGCATACGTAACTTGGGCTGGGATGTTGCGCGGTGGCGTGGACCCCGACCTGTCGCTCCTATTATCTGGCCAGTACGGAATCATTGTCTCCAACGGAGCATCACTGCCGATGAGCTGCTTCAAGGACTTCTCGGCCAGCCCCATCCGGCCAGATTTACGGCAGAGATTGGCAAACTTGATCCACATACGCATGTTTTCTGCCGGTGAGATGACCAAGGCTCTGAGGCGTAGCATTCTGTGCCAAACCTCAACGTTACGCTGACATCCTTGTAATCTGGTCTCCCAAGTTTTGCGCATTGTTGCCTGTTTCTTCTCGTCACATTGCTTGTAAACAATAAGTTCTTCTAGTTCAGCCAGCATTTGAACTCGGACGACGACCTGATATGCTCTGTTGTAAGATTCACTAACAAGAGCACTCAACTCGGTGTCCAGACCCTCACGAGCCTGCTCGATACACGCGACAGCCTCACGAAACTGATTTCTGTGCAGCGCAAGGATGGCACCAAAGAAAGATCTGTCTGGCGAGTGCCTTTTAAGAGACGACAGATAGTTATCCATGTGGTCCCATTTGTTTTGCCCCCAGGCAGCAGCGGTAGCGAGCGGTGCAATCATCCGTTGCACCTCAGGAGCAGAATTGACCCAAGTGCTGCCGGTGAGGTTGGCAAGAGCATCCCATTCTCCAAGGGCGTGCAGGCATCTCATTTTACCCATGACGATTTCAATTGGGGTGGGCTGGTCAGCGGGGATCTCTCGTTCACGTTTGTTGTAAAAAGCGAGAGCCTCTTCCCACCTCTCAAGCTTTTCAAACCAGGTCTCACGAAGCTGGATGCCTTCCTTATAAAGCTGAGCCTTTCGTAAAATACCAATGGCGGCATCAGACTGCTGAAGCTGGTTGTTGATGACAATGAGTGCCTCAACCGCGCCGCTACTTTGATCTTGCAAGAATTCCAGCTCCTTGTAATGCAGTGCCTTTGCATACGCATGACATCTGGCCGCTTCTCGTCCGAGTACCCTGATATCAATTGGGAGAGCCTTGTCGTCGTGTTCCATAAACTCAGCAAGGTTCAAAAGCAGTCCCAACAGATCGGGCGGAACATTCTCAGACTTGATAGCGCTCTCAATGTTCTGTATCAGCTCATCTTGAAACTGTTCATACAGCTCACTCCAGCAAGACACGAACGCCGAGTTGAAGAGCTCACGGGCCAGCGGCAAATAAACGCTTGCCAAGCTTGCGCAGGCACGAAGTGCATGATTTGGCGACTCTGTCAGTAAGGTCGTGCTGAATCGCCGGAGCCACTCTTGCCAATCCTCCTTGGTGGATTTGCCTCTTGTGTCCCATGCCGCCTTTAAATGGATTGCGTTCATCTCCAATTTCTTAGTTCCCAGATCCGCGAATTGTGTTTCATCTGCAATATCAGCAAATCGTGACTCGGATGTCAAATCTTGTGGCAAAACTTCACCCTTTTGAAGCTTGCTCACAAGAAGATCATAATTTTGATGCTGTATCTGGTGCTGAGTAATGACTTTATTGACCGTGCGCATGAAATGCACATAGTCTTTTCCGAGTTGCTGTATCAAAGCACAAAGCGTATCAAGGGCCGTCGTCCGCAAAGCAGGGTCGCCGCTATCAAGCACTCGAGTGAGTGGATGAATTATCTTCGCTGCATAGTCATTCAGATTGACTTGCCGTGATATCTTGCCAATAGTGTCAATGGCGTGCTTTCGTATGAACACAGGTTGCCCTTGCTTTTCAAAAGTGCGAACAATAACAGGAATTATTAAGTGCATGTACTCTTCAGCGCTGGCACCGAAAACAAGGAAGGCATGCAAGACTCGCTCAGAGGGCACTCTCTTAGCAGACGAATCCTTGTCAAGCACTCCGAGCATGTTGGGCAGAATACCAGCTAGGTAAACTTTGAATTCTCCTTCCAATGACCGCGAAATTGCTTCTACGAGGGACAGGATTGTCGTCTGTAATGATGGTGATTTATCCCAGTAATCTTGAAGTATCTGGATGATGTCCGGGAGATAGTTCCTAATATGCTGGCGAACGATGCTGACTAGCGTCGCTAACTGATTAAAATAAGATTCTAATCGAGTCGAAGCTGAAGATCGAATCACTTGCAAAAATGCCGGGATGATCCTATCAAGGAACGAAACGCATTCCAAGCCCAAAGTGCGAAAGATGTTCATTATTGCCTCAATAACAGCCGCGTGGTGCTGGGCCAAAGAGGTATCTTTCAGAATTTGCAGTAATGCATTGATGACAACAGTCGGGAAATACTCTTTGTTAGAGGGTGTTAACCCGGTCATCATCAACGAAATGTCAGTCATCTGGTTCGAGTCGACTCGTCGCTGGATTTCAGGTGTGTGCTCTTCCACCTGCTGATGTTTATACGGATCCAGAGCACCCAAAATGCCCATGAGCTTAATAGTTTGTTGCCGGAGAGGGCCTCTCTGGTCCTCTGTGCGTATGATGCCTTGCAGAATTTCCAAGAGCTGTGGGTAATCCAGGTATGGCTCAATGACGTAGCCAGAGTTACTAGCCAGCTGGCCCAGAGCGTTGAGAGCAGCCTCCCGTTTAATATTTGAACTCTGGTCTTGCAGCGCATCAATGATCAACGGCATCAAGCGATCTTTATACGGCAGCATATCTTCGCCGCCGACTGTCGCGAGGTCTCCTAGTGCTTTGAGGATAGTAGCCGCAACCGATGGACTGGAGTCCTTAGCTTTCGGCAGAAGTACTGATATCATGGGCTCAACATAGGGCTTAATGAGTGACTGAGCATTCTGCACCAGAAGACTGAGCAGCTTGGCGCTTTCCTCCTTGTTTCGTGCCACATCCGAGAACTCGAGCTCCGTAAGCATTTGAATTAGAGTTTTGCGCAATGAGGGAATGACGTATGCAGGATTAAATCGCGCCAACCGACCGATAATCGAGATAGCAACTTCGCGAATGGCAAACACTTCATCATTTAGGGCAAAGAACAAAATCCTAATGTTCTCAGCTTTTGCAAGATGACGATCAAAGCGCTCATCTAGGGCAGCCAGGACTGTTCGTCTGATATGGGAGTCGGGATCCGAAATGCCCACAGTCAATAGCTTCTCGATTACGTCGCCAACAACCTGTAGTGCATGATAACTGGTTTGATTGACAATCGGGTCCCGCACATAAAGCTGACAGCACGTCAAAGCAGCAGCTTCCCGGATTTCAGGGTCTTCGTCTTCCACATATTTTATGGCGACATCGCGAACAAACTCGTTCAAGATGTGTCCGGAGAAATCAAAGCTGCCCAGCGTATTAAGCGCCAGCTTGACTTCTGATCGTCGATTCTCGTATGCCTGGGGGTCCTTGACGTCCTTGGTGATGGCGGGAACTGAACTAAGAGTGTTGGGCTGAGGTGCACCAAGTGGCTTAAAAGGTTCGCCACAAAGGACAACGCTCAGCATATCCAATAGTCTTTCTTGGATGGTAGGCTTAACCGGGGGGATATAGAATGCCATGTCCACTAGTGCTTGGGTGAGCTTTGGGGTCAAATCGCAAGCGAAAATGGGATCCAAGAGTGCCTCCATGTATTTACTCAATGTTTGCCCAACAGCAACCGCCAATCGACTGATGCAGTCAAAGACAGGATCGACAGAGCCTCTCTTGCGCGACTGGACACTAAGACCCTCTCTGACGTAAATGAGGACGCCATCAAGATAAGGGGCAATGGCACTCTTGACAGAGTTTGCAATGTTTCCAATAGCCAAGAATGCATCATTTCGTTCCTTATCTCTTTTAAGCATTCCGGATAAATAGACCATAAATTTATGCAGCCATGTGTGCGCAAAATCGGCCGGCGAGTAGCTAGCCAGATCAGGAATGAGTGACACGACTGTTCTTCGGGTAGTTGGGTCTCTGTGGTCTTTGTGTTTGAAAACAATCTCACAAGCTTCCTGGTAATGCTCCTGCATGTACATGCCTCCTTGCTCAAGAAGCTCTTTTAGAACTAGTAGGGAGGCATGGATGGACTCGACGGTGTTGACCTTGAGACCCTGCCTAGCCTCGTTGAAAATCTTGCTCATCCAAATCTGTTTCATCTCTTGGTCTCGTTCGCGGATGATACGGAAACAGGCACCGACCGTGTCTGCCGAAGTCTCTCGGATGAGCTGTCGAGGATCTCTTAATCCGACCCAAATCCAGTCAAATATTGTTGGAATGTATTGGTACATTAACGTTGGTGCATTCCTCGCCAACTCTCTAAGAACGAGGACAGCACTATATCGACGCTCTTCGACTCGGTCGTTTTGGAGCCACTCCAGCGCGGTATTTACTTCAGAATCGACCAATTCGGAGATGAGAGAGCCTCCGGGTCGGCATAACTTTCCAAGGGCAATGGCTGCCGGTTTCATTGGGTTGATGTCTTTACCGCGTAGAATTGTTTTGATGTTCTGCGTGAAACGAGTATACTTGGCCGCAACATCAACGCCGTCAAATTCTACCAGAGCGTCTAGTGCGTAGATGCCGCCCAGTCGCTCCGCAGAGTCACTGCCATGGGTAATAAGTTGAGTAATTTTATTATTAACAGCATTGTAGAAGGCAAGAAACTGCTCTTGGCTTAGGTCTATGCTTGCATTATCAGTCGAATGCGTCCCAATCGTGGCAGGGTGGGATGTTTTATTTTACCTCGATGGCAAACGACCACAAGGTCACGGAGCTGAATAGCAGCTCGTTTGCGCACATCGTCTCCGACACTATTCAACTGTAAGCGAAAGAATCCATGCCGAAGATGAGAAGCTTCCTACCGAGATCGAAGGCCCCGAGTGATGTGCTCAAGCCGCTCAAGAGCGACTTGCTGTTGTTGCGCCATCGTCCCCTATGGCGCCGAAGCTCGAAAATCAGGCCAACATGAACAAGAGTGTCAACTAATATATTTTATCAAATGACTAGATCGTCGCAATGCCTGATTCTATGTATGACAAGGAATGGGCGGATCAATCGCGCAGCCGTCGTGTGATGAACGAGTGTGAGTGGATAAACACTCGCGGTCGGTGCTGATAGTCGTTCGGAGGCGTCAACTTCCCTACGGCTCGTAATTATGTTATATTACGGAAGGGAAGATCGATACAGCTTATCACAAACAAAGTTAAGGAGTTGCGAAGGAACCCGCACTGGCAAGAGGCCTTGACTAAGGAGTCAAGATCGACAAGAGGCGTTGCCTGGTCGAATGTGAGGGTGTTGGCGGTGCCTCCCGCGGCGAGCGACCATCACCTCTTGTGGGTCCTTGTCACATGGGCGCCGTGCATCGCACTGTATGGATACAGGGGAAGGTACTACGTAATTTTAGAGGCGGCAGCCTGCTTTCAAAGTGCACACTCGGCACTAGCTTACATAATACGCACTGTATTATAGTCTTCCCTCAAAATCATTATCGATAAAGAAGGCTATGACCTCTTTCCATCCGTGCAGCGGACTCTGGTCTTCACCTCACTTTACCACCAGATCCTTCTCAACCACATACACAAGCCACAAATTGCATATCGACTCCGACTACCGCGAGATTATCTCCGTACTCCGACGACGCGCAATACTCCACTGGCACTAACTTATCACTGTCTTTCACTTTTACGGCCATGGGCAATGACGGTGGCTCCATTCCAAAGCGGCGAGAACTCGTCAAGAATGCCGCTCGCGCGCCTACGGTGTCTGAACTCAAAGCTACTGCTTTAGAATCGCTTACCCATGCGTGGACTCATTGCGCTCTCAGTGGCGCCATTCTGGAGATGGAAACCGCTGTATCAGACTGGAAAGGGCGGTTGTTCAATTATGAAGCCATTCTTAGTGGATTAATGCCGTCGGACGAGCCCGTCGAAACAACTCCCGCCACATTTGGCATCAAGTCACTCAGAGACGTTGTGCGACTCAAATTTTCAAGGACTGACGGTAAATGGGCATGTCCCATCTCAATGAAGGAGATGGGACCATCCACCAAGGCCGTGTACCTGGTCCCTTGTGGCCACGCTTTTGCTGAAGTCGCCATCACAGAAATTCAAGAGAGCTCGTGTCCTGAGTGTGGTGAGACCTTTGACAAGGACAACACAGTCACAATATTGCCGACGACCGAAAAAGATGTCCGGCGGCTGGAGAAGAGGCTAGACGATCTACGGGAGAAGGGCTTGACGCACAGCCTAAAGAAGGATAAATCAGAGAAGAAGAACAAAAAGAAACGAAAGGGTGACGAAGTCAACGGGAATGACGACAAAGCCATGAAAGCAGATGCATTACAACCAAAGAAGGATGCAGACTCAAGAATAAGCGGCATCAATAATCCTATGGCAGCATCCCTTACTGCCAAAGTTCTGGCTGAACAAGATGAAAGAAATAAGCGGCGGAAGCTGGTGGCCGAGGTTATGTCTAGGAATGGCGAAGTAGTGAAGGGTTGATGGAACTATCAAAGCATGGTATATATGATAGACGAAGAATGATACCCCATGAATGTAAATTGAAACAGAACCTTGCAAGATTTGAAAACGGGATGCCCTGTATGCGACACGTCTGTCTGCATGGTTGATTTACAGAATGGAGTATGTCAATCCATAGCCTTTTCGCTACATTTTTAAGTACATCGAACATGCCGACTCTGAAAGTCAGAATTACGTTGCCACAAACTCTTTCTTTCCATCTCAATTTCGTTGGTCGTCATCCAAGTGTTGGAACATGGCTATCCAAACGCCTCCGGGGTGTCTTGGTAAACCAACGTCTTCTCTCGTCTCTTCGCTTCAGGGGCAGAGAAAGGCGAAGAGAGACTCAAATTTTGTGGTAGGTTGGAAGCCATCTGGACAATACAGGCTTCACCGATGAACTCTCCGTCTCTAGGATATCACTTTGCTGTGTTGACTGATCAAGTGAGGTTATCTCCATCTCCTTCTAAGGCGCCATCTAGCGCAACCGTCGCAGTTTCAAAATCCGCACAAAGTACAAGTGCCCGTAGCTTGGACAGAGTTGCATGTATGTCGTTTTCGTTCCACCATCATAAAGAACCGCAATAAGATGTCTATGCAGGCATAAACTCCGGTAGGGGGTGTATTATCGAACTTTAAGTTTGACCTACCGTTGCGTAAAGACCTCCCTTCCACCTTTACAACTCTGGCTGCTATTATACTTGCTTCCTTCGCATCCCATATATTTCTTTTATGTTTTTCAGCTCATCATTGAGCAATAATCGAAGAGCAGCACGTCTAAAAGAAGGGTGGCGGCTTTTGGCGGCTTCCAGTACAGCGCCGCAATGGGTTCTGTCCCGAAACCAAAACCCGAAATCTTCGAGAGGGACTGGTCTGATTGATCATTGCTGAAGGGAGCGATATTATAGAACCAAAGGCTGAGATGTGTTTATAATAGGCTAGTTCGAAGGGTTGCAAGACGGTGCATACTTGGACGACAGCGGAGTGGCGAGCCTCCGAAAATAAATTTTACGCCATGCACAGCAAACTCCTCTGTGTAAGATCCGTCATTAGTATCGAGAAGCCATTGTTCCGATCTCCAAGTTGAGACAGCAGTGACTACTGCACAGCTTCCAAAGCAGATGGCTCGGTGTTATCTGGAGTAGATGCGCAGACTGCTGGCCAACCCCGCGTTGTGCATATCATGGCATCCTCACGCAGGTGTAGAGATAATTTTGACTTTCATGGTTGTAAAATCAGCTCGAGCCGTAGTCGAGGCTACTAATTCTTCTGGAATAGCATCAGGGAGAGCACCGGAAAGGAAAGAGCCGATCAACCCGAGGCGAGCGTAAATCGGGACCGGATCTCTCTTCGCTATATCCATTGAGAAATACGTACTCACGTCAAGACTAGACAGCGGTTTTCGTATTTGAGAATACAAAGTTGTGAAAGTCGATGGAGACCAAGCATAAACTCGATGTATGCGAATAAGATACAAACAAACAAGAAGGGGAGAACCATTAATCCATTCTTGGAAGTCCAACTTTCTCATCGGAGTGATGGCTTTTCCATGCCCTCCAAATGCAAAGCCAAGTTCTTTTCTGCAATCTGCGCCATCACCGACTAATTCGCATTTTGAGTAAGGAGATAGGACAACGAAGACGACTCGTTGGGCCCAACTAAACCGTTCCGGTCCGCAATTTGACAGCGCATATGCCTCCTGTAATGGAAATCGGCTGACTATTATAATAAACAAGACACATCGTCCATCATGACTCTCAACGTCTACCGCAGGAGATATGTAGCGACTGGGAGCTTCAGGGGGAGGGAACACAGCTTACTATCCTTCACATTCGCATCCCTACTTCGGACAGCGCATGCGAGCAGGCTTTGCCTCGTGGCACTTTCATTCTCACACTCTACGGTGACAAAACGTATAATCCACACTCGGCCTCGCGCTCACTGGACTCGAGCCTCAACTTGCCTGCGGACGATACATCCGGTGCGGACCTCGCGAGACTCGTTTCGGCCGAAGAGCTCCGGCTGTGCTTGACTTTTCAGCATCACATGCCATTTTGTTGGCTGCTACAATATACGCCCTTGACGTGAACCAGCTCGGCAAGCATTGTCGGGAATCGACGAAGAGGTCCCAGTCACACCTCTCGAGCCGAAAGTCGAATTTTGAGTTTGACAAGCACTTCTACATCACGCAAGACCAGGCAGCCAATGTGAGTGGATGGCAACAGGTGCCAGGGAGCGTAAGCTGAGCATCCAATTTAAACGAGGCCAATATGCGCTGACTTGGCCACTGGTGCATCTCCCGCGCAATAATCGTGTTTCCTCATTGAGCTAGTGGAGGATCGATGAATTTGCTTTCGGAAACCCACAACTGGATATAAAGACTCTTTGCTGATGGGCAGACTCGCCAGGGAAATTGCAGGCCCGTGTTTTGACACTCCAAATTTACGGCTTTAATGCGTGAGGATATAAAGAAACGCCATCCCGTTTCATGGGCCCATATTCAGTGGGGCGTATAAGCACGGCAGGCCTGTCCCATGTTGTAACTGGGCGGAATCGGATGAAACCTCAGCTAAAAGTGGTTTGAAGGAACAGCTATTCTTAACAATAATAAGCTTCAAGCGAGAGTGGACCGGCTAAGACCTGTGATGTCGAGGTCAAAGTTTTGTTTTGCTCTGTTCTGGCATAACTCGAGAAGCTGTGAGAACTCGACGGGCCTTGCTGAAGGCGTTAATATAACAAAGGGTGATCAGTTCATGCAAGATGGTAACTCCGAACTTGCCAAAGTAAGAATTGCTTCAATGCATAAAAACCTTGCCTAGCCCAGCCCGTCACAACCCAGAACTCTGGACAAATGATTTCACCAGCTGCGATTGTGGGGTGCCGTCCGTCAAAGTGTCCCAGGCGTAGCCCGGATAAGGTGTCTTCTTGATTTTGGGTGGCAGGGTGCGTTTCTGACAAACAGAGAGGTAAATAGTATTGGCATCGCGAATACGTATGTCGGTACTCCGTACTTGGCCCAAAATCGCTAAAGAACAATTTTCTTGTACACCAGACGTCACATGACAAGTCTTGCTCAACCTTGGATCGGATCATTGCTTGGCCCGACAGGCAAGTGCCCGTCTATAATCTTCTCCAGACCTTGCTTCAAACTCGTTGCGAATTTGGCAACTTCCCAATGCATGTCAGCTGCTAGTATGACACGACATGGATCCAGGCGCAGACCCCTGCATTGATTGACCTTGTCTCGCGTTGCTTCCACGGACGGGTTCCTGGCCTGGTGTTGCCAGTCGCTACTCCGTACATCTCGACGCAATCGGCTACCGGCACTGGCACTGTTGGTATTGCAGCACAGCGTTTTGTCTTGGATTGCAAGAAGCTCGCAATGTCTGGCATCAATCATGTTGTCCCACAAGGCTGATGGGGACCAACATCCAGGCTGATGCTGGAAATCATGGCGAAGCCCGCGTCAAAACGGCCGCCACCAGCGAATCAGCACCACGGTCCACATGAAGTCGCCGTTTTTGACACGGTTTCTGGAGGTCTGAATTCGACGCTCATTGGAACGTTGGCCCTGGCCTCATGCAGGTGTGGGTTTCGCGATCTGCCCCTGGGAATTCTGTAGCCTGGAGAGCAAGAGCCTCACCTAACAGACATGACTGGACGAAAGCCTGTCAGATCACCTTGCGGCATGCTGCGGGAGAAGGCGTTGGCTGCCGTTGGCTTGTTTAACTGGGGGATGCCTCTCGCGACTGGGAGGCCCCGTCTGTCTCTCTCGAATGGGGTGTGTAACTGACTGTTCGATTTGTCCTGGATAGAATCTCGACACAACTCTGTCATGTCGCGTCCTTGTCCGTCGTCTTAATTTCGCTCATTTACGCGATTGGAACCATTGAATATCACGAGAAAGTAGACACTACTATCAACAGTCGTCTGCTTATAGACACAGGCATTCAATGGACGCTCGACCACCGAGGCTTCAATCGCCAATGCGAGAGGCGGACTCTATCCATCTACCTCTGCACCTCCGCCTAGACCCCGAAAAGTCGGCATCCTCAATCCAACACGATGGCACCAGCTATCGCAAGAAGTTCCCAGAGAGCCTTCATTTTGCATCTGGCAACTTTCACATGAGATCGCGCACAGCCTCCACACGAAGCAGCATCTCGTCAGCACACATTCCTGATTCAGCGACTGCCTACTCGCCGTCAACGCTTGCCAGCCCCCTGAGCTCTAGTTATGCGAGCGATATTCAAGAACGATTTGCTTGTCACACGCTGGATGGATCAAGGCCGTCGAGCAGGATACGCCATCGTCACCGGCCATCAATCGCAACCTGCTCCACCTTTATCAATGATGACGACGAAAGCCCTGTCTATGTTGGCTGTCAAGACGTAGCTCAAAAGATTAAACAGACCGGTAGCGACAATTCCGACCCTGTTGAGACTCATGAAATTGAAATTGATGAGTAAGTTCATGTCACAGGGCTACGTTCCAACCGTCCTTAGTTAACCGTATCTTCAGGCCAGAGACAGATGCCACACCAATCAAGGAGGAAGACGATGCCCTGACTCCTGGTAAAGACAGTGACTGGGAGCAGAATCAAACTCCTTGTGCGTCTCCAACCCAGAAGTCAGACATCTCGTTTAACACCTTCGGAGACACCGTCTCTTCAGACGATGCTGACGGGATTCTGGACTACACTCTTCAACTAGTGTATGGAATTGAGTTGAGTGAAGCTCAAGCGCCATCGGGAGCATTGCACCAGGTCGTTTCCAAATTCGTTCAGGAGCTAGGCCAGCATATATGGCAAGCGCCGCTGGACGGACAATCCTCCCAAACCATGTCTGGCTCAAGCTCTTCCACCACCCCTTCCACAGGTGCTGGTTTGGATGGTGCTCACAGTTTCGGCAAGCGAAAGAAGCAGAGTAATGGTGAAGATGGCGGAGAGGATCTTACCGACGGTGAGGGTTCTGGATATATCCCGTCCAAGAGAATCAAGCCAAGTCCAAAGGAGGACGAGAACCTACGGCTTAGTTGTCCGTACAGAAAACGAAACCCACATCGCTTCAACGTCCGTGACCACCATAGCTGCGCAATGACCTACTTCCCCAAGTTTGCTGAATTAAGGTAAGCCCGCGCTAACTTCCAGTCCCGAAATTTGCCTGGCCCAACTGACGCGATAATAGGCAACACATTGTTAAGCAGCACAAACGAGATGATCCATCTGCATTTGTATGCGATCGCTGTACTCGGGACTTCCGGACCAGAAAGGAGTTGAGAGATCATCAGCGACAGCCGAAAGAGCACATGTGCGACATCTCAGACCATGACCCCGAGGCTGGCATCGACGGTCCTACGTCAAACAAGCTCCTCAGCCGCAAGAGAGTTAGCGGTGCATCTCCCGAGGTCCAATGGAAGGAGATATGGAATATCCTTTTCCCAGATGATGACGACAACCTAGTTCGATCTTATCGTAAGCACTTGCCAGACCACCCCTTCTACACCATCGCTTGCTGACATGGAAGCTGCACAGACTTTACTCCTGTAATCGAACACTTTGAGCTATCCGCGCATTACCTCGAAGCCTTCAACTACCTGCAATCGTCATTACGAGACAAAATCTCCAACCCTGCGACACTGGAAACGTTGGCGACCAAGTTTCACCAATGCTTCATCGAAACAGTCGAGAGATGCGTCCTCACTTCTCAGAGCATGCCTTACACCAACCGTAGCAATAAGCGCAACGAACCTTCCCGGATACAGGGCACGCAAATCTTGACGAGCAGAAAAGCACGCGGGACGGCCTCAAGACCGGACTCCGGTGTAGTCATTGACGACACCTCGGAGGAGAGCGGGAGTATAGTGGGATCTTCATCTCTCGGCCACAGGGACAGCGTCAGGACAGTCAGAAGCTACGCGGGTCGGCGAGGAAGCAACATTGCTCCCAAGGGCAATCCCGACATGTTTCCCACGCCTGTCACTACTGCTGCAGGCTTAAATCAGAGCCCCCCTGCGCCTTTGCCAAATTTTACATTCGGTGCAAGCACGAACAATATGGCACATGCAACGGCAACTTCGGTAGAAGAGTGGGCGAATGGTCTGTCATTCAACCAGAACGATGGGACTTTTACCATGGCAGATCACTGGATGGCTGATACAAACATGACGCCCCAGGCGGAATTTGGGTTGGATGAGTCGCTGTTATATCAAGCGAGTTTCTGCACGATAGATGATACATTTACGAATCTTCATGGAACGAGAACAGATGGGAATATATAGAGAAACAAAGGAGTAATAATTCAATTCGTATGTTTTCCAATACCTGGAGAGAGTTGTCAGATTCTTGAGCCCCTCGGCTCTTTTGTTGAGTACCACCATGGGACAAGCAGACATGGTTGAATACATTGGTATATAATATTCTATTGTGGGCGCTATTGATAAAGAATATCCTCCCTCACGCCAATTTTTGAAGCCCATTTTCCAACCAAGATACGTGCTTCACTCGTTGATGTCCGTTTAAGCAAACGGGTTTGTCATTCCCAAAACGCCGTCCCTCATAGTCATAGCCCCAGCCACGTCATCTCCGTTTCAACCCCAGGCGTCGCCTGGAGCATTCGGAATTCGTTCTCGTATCCCGCCTCACGTTGTACACCATGTCCACCCTGACCCCGTTTTCTGGCAAAGCGTCGTCCTCGAGATTCCCCGCGCTCTCACTTCTTGCCAGCGCCCCCCTTTCAATGGTGGTCTTTGTGCTGGCAGCCATGAAAGTCATGTCGCCGAGCTCCGTGGCTGCTCTGTCCGGAGGAGGCCTGGGTGCCGATTTGCTCGATGTGTTCGGCTTCAGTTTGCTCTTTATCGATGCCGCGGCGGACCGGAGCCAACGCGCGACTAGGTGCAGAGTCGGGATTGCGCCGCAGGCAACCATGGCGAACGGTCCATCCGCGACCCAGTCGCATAGGTCGTATGTGGTCCTAGGCTGGTCGCTGCGGTTGCCGAGTTGGACGAGGTGTTGTTGGGCGTTGACGCCGCGCAGATGCAGATGCACATGAGGATGTTGAGGCCGAGGGCGACGGTCGGCTGCATCTTTGAAGTTCGAGTTGTTGAGTTGCCGGCGAATGGTGGCGGGCGTGACGGCGAGGCTGGCGTCGGTGGCGCATTGTCATATGGATGGCAGAACTGCTGGATCCAGAGGGCCCTCATGGAATTGACGCCGGGTGTTGAGTCTGTCGGCGGGTTGGGGATGGCTATGAAAGTCGTGTTTGATAAGCGGGAGCGCCGAGAGGTACATTGGCGAGGGCTGCGCGCCGGGGCAGGCGTCAGGATTGAGGATGTATATTTCGGCATTTGGCTATCTTTGCTACCGAGGCTGCCGGGGAGAAAGCGCAAGTCTTGTTGGAAGGTGGTTGCTGGATGGGCAGATGACAATAAACCTGGTGATGTGACTTGATCTGCATTTCGAGCTGTTGGCCGTCATCGCCTCTTAGTAAAGTAGTTGGAGGCTTGGACTTTGAAGATGGTCAAAAAAATTGAATAATGTGATATGTTGGGTCTTGCCGAGATTTAATCACACGACTGTGGCTGGGAGGGACACTTCCATCTTGTGTCCTAAAAGAAGTATTAACTACCTTCAGTTCTCGCTCCAAGTTTAAACGGATATACCTGGCTCCTGGCTGTACACCTCTGCTCGTGGTTGTTACCCGGCACCTGCAAAGTTGGACATTTATTTATTTAAATACACTAGCTGGCTAGTAAAAGCAAGTTGGACATTGAGTTTGTTGAAAAGAATTATGAACATGTTGCAGAAATTGATTGCAATGCCTCGAAGTCGGCTAGTTAACCGGCGCCGTCTTGCGTATAACAGTGCAGATGCCGATACGTTATACCAGGCGGGAGTCGCCTCTCATGCACCAAAGATGGTCTCATTCCAGACTAAGAAACTAGCATAGAACTTTCTCATGTCAGAATTGTTTTTTTTTTGTGAGACTTATTTGGAAGTGTCATCTCTCGTGTAGAGATACGTATCAGGTTTGTATATTTTGTTGACGTCGCGCATGACGTTGGGTAACCAGCTGTACTCTATAATTCTAAAACAACATGCTATTTGCTCTGTAACAAAACTAAGCCTCTCGTGCCAAATAGAGACTTGAGCTTTCGATATCGGTGAGAGTGTAACCGCGCCGCAAGACACGAAAAGTTACGAGTGTATTGGTTGAGTCGTCCAACATTACTCCAAACTTATCCGTCGTCTACCCACGCACCCGGAATGTATAATGGTTGGTTCTCCAACATTTCCCAGAATTCACCAGCAAATTCTTCAACTAGGAGATCCCATGTAAAATCCCAGTCTTCGGGTCTCGGTCCATACTTGATCGAAACCAGGTATGGGTTACTTGGGGTTGTGGTGAAATCTTTCCAACCACGATAATAAGAAACGTAGGGCACCAAAAGTTCAGATTCCCTCCGCCCATATTCCTCGAGATCGATTCCGGCTTCTGAAGCAGATTCTAGGAAGAGTCTTACGACTCTAATAAGAATCTTCTCATATTGCTTCGTGCACCTTGGACCCAGGGCTCCCCAACGGCTCCGTATCAGCCGGGCCATGACGCTCCTGGCGCTGTTTGTTAACGGAGTCATAACACGCCAAGTCATTACATCAGAATAAGGCGGTACACCTGGCATAATCAGTTCTTCGCACAGCTTGGTAAGGCTGTTAATTGACGTGTCCGATAGCATATCTTTAGCAAGCTCTTGCCAAGTTGACGACTTCTTCAGACCGGGAAAAGTCCCACCCCATTCAATTTGTCGGCATATAAAGGCGGAAATGAAGTCGCACAAGCATTGCAACATTGGATTGTCCAACGTCGCTTTCAGACGCTGTATTGTGGTCCGATTTTTAGAAACAACATAGTTCAAGACGTCTGTATTAATATACATCCACCCGAAAGAGTAAAACTGAATATCCAGAGGCAAATCGATGAAACTTTGGGGCGTCTCGTTCTCAATGAGCGCCAAGAAGCCAGGGACAATCCAAATCCAGTATCCGAGTTCGAACGACTCCTCCGTAGTGTTGAGCTGGGTGCAGTAATCAGTAAAGTCTTCCCATCCGAGTATAGTTTTGAAGTATTCAAGACTCAGGGCTTCTACCGGGAACTCCGACTCAATACTCAGACAGGGGGTGGGCCAGCCATCATTCGAGGCTCTAGTTAGGATAGAACGGTTCAACAACAACAACTTGACACCTAGTTCAAAGTTGGAAGCTTCAACTGCGTACTAGAAATCTGTTGGTTAAAATATACTCTCTCTTTGTATGTATCTCTTGGAGGGAACTTACATGAAGCAAGGTCCGTTCTTCTTCATCGCGATCATACAAGGATGCCTCGCCATCAGATATTAGCTTTACAATTTTCTCAAAGTCGCCGTAGAAAGCAGCCTCAAAGATTGGGCTGTCCCGTGGGCGAATGTTCCAGCTTGAAATTTTCCATGTCATACCATGCGTTGATCGACAAGCTAGCATGTCCCAGACAGTCTGCGAGAGCCACCAGGGGAATCGAAATCGAACTTTCGTAACTGTTCGAATAGGTCAGAAACAAGCGCACATTCGCCAATTCAACATACAACTACTTACTCTGTACTTTTTCACCAAGACCATCCTGGTTTTGGATAGAATGTGATGATCTGCTAGTTCTAACACCGCCAAACAAAGAGCTCGGCACCCACTCCAACGTCTGCCTCTCTAGTAGAGAACTAGAGCTGTCCTGTTCAACATTTTCTCGGGCTCTTAAGGGACGGTCTTTTGTGTTTGAGGCTGTGTTACGTGTCGTTTCGTTCCATCGGTCAAAGAAGATTGAAGCTGTGCGCTCGGGTATCCGTGCCGTCATAGATCTAACATGCAGCCGCCATATATTAGCAATCAGTCTGCGGAAAGGAGATGAATTTCCATTCAGGGAATTTGAAAAGGAAAAAAAAAAAAAAAGAAACTGCTCACGAACCGCGTATGTAGAGTCAAAGCAAACTGAAGCAGCTGAAACGCATGGTACAGCTGTTTCTGAGCATTCGAGACCGAGTCCTGGTCTAAAACAAACTTGACCTTCGTAACTGACCTCCGCAGCCTTCTGTTCGACTTGACATTTCTCTCGAGCTTTTGCATCAGATCCTCTAGCTCTTTCGCAGCATTCTTGCAGTAGCGCAGGCTCAAGGCTCCGCTTGGCGTGTTTTGCACAACATCTTGCTCAGCTTCAAGCTCGGTAATAGTAGCATTCAAAGCTTCGAGTTCCTCCAGTTGGTTTTGGATGCTTTGGGGAACATTTTGGATGCTTTTCCAAAACGTCTTGAGTTTGGATAGTTTGGCTGCTACCTCGCCAAGTGTTACGACACTGGCGACAAGGCCTACTACTTCTGCCATTTCGGGTCGGCTAAGTTGTCTGCTGCGGTGAATGATCTCTACAATATTTCTAGACAACCAGAGACGTGACCGTGTTTAAAAAGGGATCGGACAGTGGTAAACCAAGCACTGCCCCATCACTGGAGGCAAGGCGCGATGCCAAGTGAGGCGAGTGTGCATGAATGGTTGGGCATCGTCAGGCCGAGACTGATTGTCACAAAGGTATATAGGAAGTCTAGCACACGCAGAATAATATACACTGGCTACTTCATCTGTTGTGCTACTCCAAGACATCAGCAAGGCTGAGCCTGGGTGGTGGCTGAGCGTAATGTAACATTGAAGCTCCCCGCATGGCCAGTCCTACCCTAAGCAGGCCATGATATTGCATATTTTGAAAGATGTTAGATAGCTGTTTAACTCGCCAACTTTCTGGGGTGTTCTAATTCGTCACGTAGCCTTCTGCATACGGACTGGGTAAATGAAAACAAGGCGTTGGCTAACCGACAAACCATGCTCTGCTCCTGTGGAAGTGCTCTAAAAGTTAACATGAAGCTTCGAAGCTGTCCTTAAGAATCTCCAGTCTTGGGTTTGATTCATGATAATTCCAGCCAAAGGCTGTGTCTCTGTGTTACCCCAAGTAGCATCTACATGGTCACTCTTTAATTATAGACGCCTATGACCAGCCGTCCGTGCTGTTTTAGCTTATCTGCTAATCCAACCCTTTATCATAAAGAACAAATACTATTTGCACAAGGCATATACTAATCTCTAACACATTAAAATATAATCTAGAGTTTAAAGCCTACAAACACATGGCACGCGCTACGCTGAGTCTGTTAAAGGAGCCTAGTACGGAGAATGTCAACCAATTTGAGAGCCTATTCCAGCCGGAGGCCCGAATAGTAACATGATACTCTAATTGTAAAGCCTCTCGGAACTATCAGTGTTTCTAACCAGGTACTAGGTATGTACGTATTGGCAAGGAGCAGAACGGGATTACAATGCCGGTGCTGTTAAGTGCCCGCGGTTATCCTTGGCAAGTCATGGGGCCCTACCGTGGAAACATGGAGTGTTGGGATGTTAGTATAGAAAACCCATGAATCATTTCTGATATATTTCCTGCGGCTTTTACTGAACCTGGGGTTCTCCTAAGAAAAGAGAACATCTTTGGAGTGTATGTCGAGGAATTCAAAGAGCAAAATAAAACCTGCCATAGGCAGTCATTCAAGTTGAAGGATACGGATATGATGTAATACACTACCTGGGCCACGGCATTAGGAACCAGTTCAACGAGGACGCAATACTAAGCACTAGCACGACCCTTACTGATCAGCCGTGTATCTCCTTAACGGCAGATTCAGTGTTCGCTACTGAGGGCATCTACTAGGTTAAGAAAACGCTGAAGTGGGACTGCTCACTGGGTAGAGAACATGAAGTTTATTTGAACCTCAACATTGGGGTATTATGCAATATGTACCTATGGTATGAAACGCTTTCCCTGAGCGTATGAGCTGATCCAAAACACCACATATATAATATACAGATGTATCCTCTACAGACGTAGACTCCAGACTCTATGCGTCCCATTTTTGGTCATCTTTCGTCATTTCATTGTTGTACATGGCCTCAAAGTTGCGTGGAGGTGAGTCCACGCACGGGAAATCCGCTTGCGATTGCGGCTCCCTGCATCCGCTGTAACCAGGGTAATCCATCACCGTCAGGGACAGGCCGGTGCTCGAGACTGCAGTTGACATGTATCGAATCGTTCATATATGTATATTCGGATATGGAGGTGACACATTCTGATAGGGTGCCCGGGAAAGGCGACGCGCTCAATGCAGCACACAGCCAACACATTTGTTGAAATATTTCAATCATATTATGAGACCAGCCAGAGACAGTCAGTCGAACCGCTGAGTTCTCCAACTCGACGTGAAGAAGTCGCAAGCCAGGGCAGAAGGGACCGAGTTCGTCGCTTCCGTCCCATATAGATAGACCCGACATGGGTTCGCCTTGCTGGCAGGATAATGAGGCGCTGCCAACAGCTTCTTCGAGACATTTCAATACTATCGCCCCGCACTTGGGCCATGCCTTTTCAATATACTCTTCCACCGTGGTATACACGCACTCTTCTGCCGTGCCCGTGATGGCCGGTAGCGAGCCAATGTTGACCGATTGAGGGTCAGCAATTCCGTCGAGAGGTCCAAACAGCTGACAATCGAATTTGAACTGGACAACGTGGAAGCCGTCCGCGGGGGGAGGAAATGGTCGTTTCAAAAGAAGGTTCCAGATGGCGGATTCGGTGATGTGAACCTGAACATAGTGTGGAGTCATTAAGACATTACGAATAGAAGCGATGAGGTTGTGTGCCGAGTTCCCGTTCATGATTTGCGTGTGGAGGTTGCGGGCAATGTCGTCCGGTGAGCCTCCCGGAGACTGCGAAGGCATCTCTCTGTGCCAATAGCTACAGAGGAGCTGCAAGGACAGAGCCAGGTCGATGCCAGTTGCACTCGTCGACCATGATTCCTTCCTCTGCGACAAGCCGGGCGCCAGTTTGTCGAGGACACACTTGGCCGCCTCGGGGCCGTTGAGGATCAAGATTATTTGGCGGATCGGACCCTCAAAGAGCAAGGTGACTTGTCGCGAAGGCTCGGACCCTGCCTCTTGGTAAAACTGATAGAGCTCGTCCCACAGCTCCAGGGTGAACTTGGACAAGAGGCGATCGATTACACGATCGAGGTTTACGGGGAATTTCTGCTCGCTGATGTAGTAGTGAGTCAGAAGCTCGTTGTCGAGTCCGTCAGCCAGGGCCTTTGCAAAGGCGGCATTCAACGCCCCTGCGATGAGTGGTGGCAGTTGAACTTGTGTGGACTTGGCTTGTTGCGATGCTCGCGACGGGAGAGTCGGCAGAGGAGGTTTGTACGGCGAAGTATACAATACCCCTGGTCTCCTGACGCTGTCAGGTAAGCCAGGCGGCGGTGGCATATCTGATCATGACTGGAGGAGGGATTGGGTGTGGATTTGCGATCGGTCGCTCGGGGGGAGAGTCGCAGTCAGTGGAGGACTGGCAAAGACAGGGTTCAATGTTGGAGGGCAAAGAAAAATGGAGAGGACCCCAGGCGTCCCGGAGCAAAAAAAATTGGCTGACGAAGTTTGTCGAAAGATGGGAGCGGAAGTCGAAGTGGGATGGAACGAATGGAAAGAGTCGAGATGTTAAATCTCGGCCGGCAAATGGATGGGTATGAAGGCAAGTCGCAGGCGCAATGAAGAAGGATAATTAAAGGTCATGCATGAAGCGGCTAGCAGACTTTTCTGTCGGAACCAAAGAGTTCGCCGCATCATGGGGGCAGCGGAGGAGGACGCGGACTGGGGAAAAGCGTCGTCGTCTTGGTCAGTCCAGTCGCGGCCATTTGTCGTTGCAAGTGGACGATGGGTCCGGAGAGCCGTCTTTGCGCTGGCTCTTGCCCGGTTTGGTCCATTTCTGGGTTGAAGGCAACGCCAGGGCTGACGTTGCGCTGCCCGTGAATTGCGCGTCCCGATGACAAAGTGGGCAAGCGCGACCGTCGGCTGCCACAGGTGAGTGGCTGCCGCCGCAAGAGGCCGCGCCAAAGGGAGACAGTGAAACATCAATTGATCTCATCGCCTTCGGCTGGTGAAGGGCCCAAACGTCTGGTGCCCATGTCCGCACGTTGCGGTTCTCGTCCTTGCAGCCCTAGATGTCCAGATGGCATCTTCTTCCACGCGGAGCACTGTCATCAAGTCATCGCTGCTCAAGCCCGCCACCTCGACGAAACGTGACGCAACCCCCTCGGTAATGCCCTGTCAAGGTGGCCCCTGGCGGCCCAGCCACTAGTCCCTGGTCAAGAGATTGACTCGAGATCGCGAAATTCAAACGAGGAAAAAGCCAAGAAAAAACTTAATATCATAAAGGGGACGTCCCAATCCTATTCAAAGGGCTCGTTTCATCTCATCCATCGTATTGCCGGCTACCGTTATGGGCCATCATGACTCTGAGCCGCACTTCTCACTCGTCATCTTGACATTGAGGCTCCAAAGGCCGCGTTGCCCGTCTCCGCGTGGCTTATCTCGAGCAGATTCTCCCTACCCCTTTTCATGCAACCATGACAGACTAAGCTTTCGGCCAGATTCCGACATACTGGACATCAAACGCTCAGCGATATAAAAGGCTAGGAGTCGATATCTTTCCGACACGACGTCTGTTTGCCACTCGCGAGCCTGAAGCACCCCCTCCACCGAGTACGTGGCCAGAAGGGTTGAAACGCCTGCCATCGGGGACATGTTCTTCGGGTTGGCGGCGTTTCTTCGTTCAACATCGTCGCACCTGATGATGGTTGTCGCTGTCTATGGGTGCTGCAAAGTTCGTGTGAGAGGTTGTGAAGTCAAGCTTTTAAAGTGATCTCGTTCCACTCTGGGCTCAGAAAAGAGCTATGCTCCGATTCGAAACACAATTCATCCCAGTGCCACAAGCCATTTACAGGCAAACCACAAAAACACATGATTTCCTTCAAGCGTAGCCATTCAATCAATCACCCGATATCGTCTTTGGCACTCCTTTTATGTGGATTGGAGTCTGGTCCCTCACCAGAAAGACTGACAAATCGTGTCTCAAGAGAGCTGTAGGGTAGCAGAGTCGAGTATCATCGTATCGACTGAAGGCCCCACTTCTGCGAGTTACCTCAAAGATGTGGACGATATTAACACAGCATGTTTAATGCAAGGAGGCTGCTGGACTCTTGCTCGGGTGACTGGTTCGTAACCATACTTTTCTTTTCTTTTTATTTTCCCCTTTTATCGTAGTATCATACCACAAAACAGCTTACCCAATCCAAGACGCATAGTATGGCGTTATGGTTTCACCAGAATGGACTCGAGTAACTTGTACACAGCGTGCGGAACGGATAGTGATATCAAAGTCCCGGTGCCATTTCCGTCGGCCGACTGAATAGCCCATGCAAATAAGGGATTAGGAAAGACCGGAAAACTAGGCCATGCTGCTCAATTTCATATTCCCGTCAGATGACTAGGAGGGCCTTGGGGTGGCATGTTCGGTCAACCGATTCTCCGAGTCGATTCCCGCCTAGAGGTCTCGACAGGTTCCACTTCCGGTCTGTCAGGTGCCATTGGGATCCACCGCTGCATTCGTCATAGGCAAGGTGAGTCCGGTATGATCCCATGGTGACATGACAGCACGCGAGCAAGTTTTCGCGACGAATTGGCCGGTATCGATGGCGAGAAACAATGAAACGTTAGGCGGAGAGCCCAGGCAAAAGCTTGAAATTGAAGCTATGGATGAGGAGTAGTTAGTGATGTCGGCGCATGCCAGGCACGCGAGGTGGTTGCTGCATTGCCCGCCCATGACTGGAGGGGTCACTGCCGAAATGCCATGGTAGCAACATGCCACGCGGGGACGGCGTCAATGTTGGGCCAATGGATGCAGCTTTGCCCAAGTCCGTCCGAGGCCACATTGCTTGACAAGGTTTCAGCCATGTTGGCGTCAACTACTGGATGATGACTGCACTGTGCGGACACCTGGATCCGGCAAATTGGCAACGTGATCGACCTGAGGGGTGAAGCCACGCCGACATGGAATATGAATAGGCCCCATACAGGACTGATTGACTTTCCAGCTTGCCCGGCGGCTCAGGCCCAGGTCACTGGATGAATGACACAAAGGCTGGCTGCATGCTTTGTAGTGTTGACTGACAATGTTCTGAAGCTGCCAGGAGCGCTGGCAACAGGCGAGATGGGCTGGAGAGAGCATCAGTTGATCGAGATTAGATGCAGCAGGATGGGAGTGAGTGCATGGCAAAGAGGGGACATCGAGGCCCTGATGAGGCCGCAGGTCAACTCGGGCTGATGGGGCCAGTCAACTGGTCGGTCTCGCGTTTCGCTGAGCTCCCCCCAAGGCCCATGTCATGCCACCAGACTGGACACTCTTGCCTCGGCCGTCGTGCCACGCCCTGCAAGCATCCCGTTGTCGTCCAGGACCGCCAGCTTCCCACTTCCCACTTCCCACCCTTTGCAGCCTTTCTGAAGCTTCACCGATGCATCTCGATGACAGCTATTTGGGAAAGCCCCTCGCACGTCGTCATGGTCGGGGAGGCAACACGTCTCTGAGCTAGCTGAGTGCCCCTACAGCTCTGGCAGTGGGTCGAGCGACAGGCTTCCCCGGATTTTGTACCCCAGATGATCGCACACAAATAGCTGCAGCAGACCCAACGCTAAGCCAGATGGGGCCTCGAGCCAGTGTCCTGTCAACTGTGCGGTTGCTGCACCTGGCCATCACTCACCCAAGCCGCCCACTGAAGGAGCTGGAGTCCACTGACATGGACCCTCACCGAGCTCCGTCGTACCGCCCCTGTTAGTGCCCACGCCTGGCTTTGAACCATCAATCGATGTCTGGTTCAACTGTCCCAGTCCATCGACTGATCAACGGAGCCGCCCACGCCTAGTGTTGGCTCGAGTCCCTGGTGCTTAGTGTTGTCCCAGTGCCGCAGCGCCTCTGCTCCGTACTGTATCAAGTGTCCATGCATGACTCTGTGCTCCAGTGTTCGATGTCGGTACCAATGCCCGTCTTCCATGCCCAGCTCCTCCCAGTCACGCGATCGGGTGAGGCTATGTCCCGTCGAGTACCACCAAGGTAGGTAGCTTTGTACGGAGTGTTGATGTGAGAGTACTCCGTACACTCGATGGCAAGTTACCCCGCCCGGTCTGACGAAAGAGTAAGGGCATTTCCAACAAGTTGAGCACCTCAGGCCGCAGAATACGCCAGGGTCCTACTATGTATTTCCCCTCTTCTTCCCCTCCTTCCCTCCCTTTCTCCCTTCTTCTTCTCTTCCTTTCATCATCACTTGGTTCCATTCCATTTCATCTTTAAACACTCTTCGCCTACAAACCACTTACTTTCATCAAAGGTTCGTCTTATGCTAGGATACCAGCTCTCGCAAGCATCACCATCCACTTTTCGACGCCATTGGACTATAGCTGACTCAAGCTCAGCTCAAGCTACCCGCACGACCTTGTTGGCCGTTTCAGCTCACTGAACAGCACACTCACACAATCACCAATATGACGGAACCACTTAGCAAGGTTGACTCCGCCGTCCAGGGCTTGTCATCGTCACCGCCGAAGGAGAAGGGCCATAGAAGGGCCAGCTCCAGCGCAGCTGGTGTAATGAACATCAATGACTTGGGTAAGGCGTCTTACCAATGTACCCAATGGCTTGTGGCTTTGCTCCCAAGGGTTGCTGGTCGATATGCAATAACAAGACACTGACGTCACAATCCAGAAAAGGATGGTATTGAGCTGAAGATTGCGATTGAGACGCAAAAGACGGGCTGGTAAGCTTGGATACTACACTTGATTCCAGGACATTCTGGAATACGTGTCTTGTTTATTGACTCCTTTCTGGAGCTAACATGTCAATCAGGAAAATCAACAAGAGTCCGACCACAGTCGAGGACTCCAGCGTATTGAAAGTCATGTTGACGAAACCGCCGGTTAAGAAGATTGACCTTCACTTCCCGTTAGGAATGGAGGTAACGGCACGGAACATGAAGGGTGTTACGATCAAGGATGCCATGGATGCGATTTACAAGGCGTACAAAAAGCGGGTATGTGCCTCCCCAGGAATAGCACGCCAGATGTATGATGAGTAGAAAATTAATTCTAGGATCCCATTAGGCCGATGATGAGCTTGACAACCCATACCTGGCTGGCTTCGAGTGGGACAAGGAGGAGTCATGGACACGGTTGGTTGTGCACCTCCAGAAGGATGCTGGTACCAGCGGCCATGGCGGCGGCAAGAAGAAAAAGGGCAAGAAGGACGACGAGTAAGCTCCTTACCACAACCCTGATATCTGTTCCAATAGTTCCATCAACTTTCTTTTGTTTGGCTTCGCTGTTTTCGTTGCGAGTCGGGCGCCCGGGATATTGCGATTAGGTATTCTTGGCTGGGTCATGTACAAGCGATTGCAGGATGCATCGCGCTTTGTTCCATTCTCCGACTCATACTTAGGTATTTTGCGGCGGCTACGGCCCCGACGATTCTAGCTTTCGGATCAACCGGAAACTGTTAATTCTTGCACCTCATATCGTGGTCGCCATTATCTCTGGGAAATAGCCCGTGTGCAAAGTGAGATGTCGTCAAACTAAAGAAGCTATTAGACGGGCGATATGGCGCCGTCTCTGTTCCACTGCCGACCCTGCAAGCGTGATGAAGACCCCACCGGTGGAGCGACTTCTACGCATGAACTGATGTGTCGTCACGGCTATCGTACCGGATAGATTGATCGATATGGTCAATGACGTGGCTAGGCTAATCTCTTACCAATACTGCCAGCTTTTTGATGAGTATGTCTTTAATTTCTCCTAGGATTCCTGTTGCGATTGGATTGCATTTGAAGGAAAAGTTATTGGGAGCTTGGATAAAAGCCAGTCCGAGATACTGAGATGCTACGATATCAGGATAGAGAGAAATTGCTGGGCAATGATATTAGCGCAATATCTACCCCGCGGCCCCCATTGTCAATCGGCTTTGATGCACTCGGAACCGCCCACTAATTTCCGGTCTGGCGGTTACTCTCGGGCCGATGAGCGCCGTACTGCCGTTCCCCACGGCGGAAAAGATGCGTAGCACTTTCCGAGCAACATGAGCTCTCGCGTCATGCCGCAGCAAAGTTCGACAGAGCGGCTACTTTCGTCCCTTTAGCCTTTTGTTAATGATGGGGAAGCCGAAGCCCGGAATTGGTCAGCGCGGGGCTTTCCATCCCCAGAGTGAAGGAAAGCTATAATATCTCTGGTGTTCCTGAGACAAGCTTTTCTTTTCGCTTTCGGGACTACACACACATCCCATAGAACAGGAGTCACCATGCCAATCACCGAGTTTGAAACAAAAGAGAAGTACCGTTATCAAAGCGGCTTCAACTGCCACTTTGAGTGAGTCCCCCTCTCTGTTAGACTTTGCGCCTCTGTTTTTTTTCTCCCCCAGTTACATGGAGCCTGTCGAGAGTTTGCCAATTGCGGTGTACGCACTTGGCATACACCTAGTACTTGTGAAATTGGCGAGCGTGTCGCAAGATGGACATCAGACGTGCTGACAAGCCATGATTTTCTTTTGACAGATCAGAGGCGATCAAAGGCGCTTTGCCAATTGGCCACAACTCTCCCCAGGCGCCCCCGTTCGGTCTCTATACGGAGAAGCTCTCCGGCACAGCCTTCACAGCACCTAGACACGAAAACAAACAAACGTGGCTGTATCGCATTCTGCCGTCATGCGCTCACCCGCCGTACCAGCCTTCTCCCGAGGGCACTGCCCCGGAGCTCGTCGTCAGGGAAAGCTCCAAGATGCACTACATCCCTAACCAGCTGCGGTGGGATCCCTTCAGCCACGACGAGTCCAAGGATCATGATTTCGTCTCGGGTCTGAAGCTTGTGGCCGGCGCCGGCGACCCTACTCAGAAGCAGGGCCTTGGCATGTATGTGTACGCCGCGGGCAAGGACATGGATGAAAAATCAGCCTTTTACTCGGCCGACGGCGACCTGTTGATTGTTCCCCAGGAGGGGGATCTCGATATCCGCACCGAGCTCGGGTGGCTGCTCGTCCGGCAGATGGAGATTGCCGTGATCCCCCGCGGCGTCAAGTACAACGTCCGCCTCGCCTCGGGCCCAGCCCGCGGATACGCCCTGGAGCTGTACGAAGGCCACTTCAGTCTTCCAGAGCTTGGTCCCATCGGCTCCAACGGCCTCGCCAACGCGCGAGACTTCGTGGCTCCCGTTGCCAGCTTCAGCGAGGACTTTGGCGCGACGGCCCACGAGGGCCCAAACAAGTACCTCGTGACGGTCAAGTTCAACAACACGCTCTTCCAGACGACGCAGGCCCACACGCCGTTTGACGTGGTCGCCTGGCAAGGCAACTACTACCCGTACAAGTACGACCTTGGCCGCTTCAACGCCATCGGCACCATCTCCTTTGACCATCCAGACCCGTCCATCTTCACCGTGCTCTCGGCGCTGACTCCGGTGGCCGGAACCGCCGTCGCCGACTTTGTCATCTTCCCGCCGCGCTGGCTCGTGGGCGAGGACACCTTCCGCCCGCCGTGGTACCACCGCAACACGATGAGTGAGTTCATGGGCCTCATCCGCGGCGCGTACGACGCCAAGAAGGCCGGCGCCGGCGGCTTCGTTCCTGGCGGCGCGTCGCTGCACAATGTCATGAGCGGCCACGGCCCCGACGCGGACAGTCACGAGGGCGCCCGTGCCGCCAAGCTCCAGCCTGTCAAGGTTGGAACGGGCAGCTGCGCCTTCATGTTTGAGAGCTGCCTCATGGTCGGGGTGACGGAGTGGGGTTTGCGGACGTGCAAGAAGGTCCAGGAGGGATATAGCGAGGAGAGCTGGGGTGGCGTGGTGACGCATTTCAAGCTCCCCGAGGGTGCGGTCGCGAATAGCCACCTGGCAGAATGAGTTGTTTGACCAACATTTTGGAATAGGCTCATGAAGGGAAAATTAGAATAAATGATTCGCTGCGAAGTACGAGGTGTGGAATCGACGAAATATCTTGGTAACGGCCTTAATTGTAACGTATCGAGTTTATGGTTGGCATGATGCTGTTTATTGCTTCGTGAGATGGACAAATTGTACCGAGTAACGTGGTGAGAAACAAGAAACGTACATCAAACTTGGGTTTGCGTATCGTGGTCCTTAGGCATCTGGCTCTTGCTGAGAATTGTGCCATGCCATATTGATACATGTAGTTATGTTCGACCTTGGGCTGCCGCATACTTTGTCATCTTGGGAAGCGACGTCAGTGGTCGGGCGGGTATTTGCGTGCCGTGTCATAGAGACAAGCATGTCAACATGTCGTTGGACATGTAGAGCTCATCATACAACGGGCAGCCGTGAACAGCGCGTCAGTTTGTCGGAGCACCGAGTCCTGTCTCTGAGGCAGTATTTCCTCCCAGTTCATGCACACGGACGATGGGAGGGCGCATCATCTGCTGTGCGTTTTGAGACATTATGACAAACAAACGCTGGGCTTGGAAGCTACTCTAGCTCGTCTTAGCAGCACATGCTATTTCTCTTTGGCAAGGCTTGAAAACACCACCATTCTACTCTCTAGTGAAAGATGAAGAAGCCCGAACGAATGCGTTGGCTCGAGTCGGTCACGCGGACCTCGTCGAGCTCTTGCACTGCCTGTTGTCTTCCATCGCTAAGAAAGTAAAGCACTAGTAAGCTACATGCATGGGCTTTTTGAAAGTCGGTGCCGTCTTTGGTCGGGGTGCATGTTGGAGTGCCTGCTTCGGAATACTAGCCAGCTGGGTTGAGCGAGTTGGTCAGATTTCGCTGCCTCGATGAGAAAAGGTTCAGCGATTGAGGAATCTGTCCGAGCTTCTTCATATTACACGTTGCTTGTAAATGACTATTACGTGCTGGTCTCGCTATGGAATGGTTTCATTTTGTATGCTCACAGTTTAGAGACTGCTAGGTAAGGACATACGCGCCTCATCTGCGTACACTCTGACTCGATAACATGTTGTTCTGCAATTCACGATTTTCACTCTGGACGAGCTTGCAATGAAGACAAGACCGATTGTATCCGCTCTTATATATTTACGTAACTCCCAGCACATGCTCGGGCGTCATCCTGGCCACCCACGCCTCTCACATCTCAACACCTAGGATCCGAATATGGTTCTCGGAGAGGGCGAAATCCTCATTCGAGAACAACCACGGTGCAAAACCACACGACGGATATCCTCTGCAGGATCAAACAAGAAGGAGGCATGTCGGGTATCCAGAGCCGGCAAGCGCCGAATGGCTGAAGCCTACTGTGGCATCAGAAGCTGCACGCTTGTATTGTGCTCAAAACCACGCGACATGGTAGCACTAGTGAGATAAGCTTGAAGCATGTGGTGAGGTGCGACGAGAGCTGCACGAACAACCAAGGCCTGATGATTCTTCAGTTCATATCCCAAATCTGGGGTAGCGGAGATACATTATGACAGTTGTGAGAGATCTGTAGCGACGGCTCGCTCCCCAGACTACGAACCATGAAGCAGGGTGCTTGCCGATGCGCCCCAACACCATGTTCTAATATTGGACAGGAGAAAACGACATTGTTATATGTATCATGGTAGTAGTGAGGCCTCGACCACTTATGGGGTTGTCTTGGCAGATCTTGGCTGAGGGCTGCAGCCTGGGGAGCTGCCTCTTTTGCCAAACCCGGTTCCGCGATAAGAGAAGTGCTTCCGGTCTACCGCCTCGGATGCCCAGCGACTGCGAGACTCTGCGACGGCAGAGCCAGCATCCCGGAACACACTTGCAAAAGTTCCGCCGTTGGTCTGGGGCGACTATTTCCTCTCTTGGAGCTGGATGCTGATATTTGGTGGTGATGGTTCTGAGATGAGGATGGAACGCCAAGTTGCACGCCCGAGTGGCTGCAGGAAGGAGCCTTGAGCTGAGCTGACATGTCACCCTACTTAAGTACTTAGTATGTTGACTGTTTTGGTACGGAGTATTGAGCCCTGGATTTTGTGACACACGGGGACTTGACTTTGCTAGGCGAGGGTGAGGAGATGGAGATGCAGATTGCTTCTTGGCCTGGAGTTGGTGTATCGGATGTCGCTGGGAGTACATCAGTGCCTGGCATGACAATGGCAGCATGGCCAGTGTTTATTCGCCTAGATACGGGGAAGGTAAGCTGCGCATTGCCGAATATACCACTACTGTCCATAATGGTGTAGATTGTTCTTCTGTCGCCACGCACCAGTAAGGAGGCCAAGTTGCCCCTCCGGATGGGCTGTGCAGCGCAAACGGCCAAGGCACGGCTTGTCTGCAGCCTTGTTTAGGTTTGTCCTGGGGTGGCCATTGGTTTGCATCTTGGGGTTGTTTTGGTGGTCACGTCGCAGGGATCCAAATGAGCTTATTTTCCCACATCAGCCACGCGGGAAACAGATTGACCTGCCGAGTTCGGAAACCAGATGTCAGCCCAGAACGCCCGTAGAACTCAGCCCCCAAGACTCTTGGTGCGCTTTGCTGGTTGCGTGGGAGCATGGGAGCATGGGAGCATGCTGGTTGTGGACTGGACTGTGTCGAGGCGCAAGAGCGAGGAGGAGGAGGATGACATCTGGAGGAACATTGAATGATTTGAGATTTTGGCGGCGATACGGCGGTACCCGAGTATGGAGTATACAGTGGGTTTGTACTCCGTACCGCCTTCTAGCCGCTGTAGGGAGCACCCCTGCTCGGCAGTTGTGACTGGATCGTCAACTCTGTTCCCCCCTCAAGTGCTCCATGTCAATGCCAAAGCCCTTCCTGGCGACCGCTTATGGGCAGCTCTGCCACTGCAACAACGAAATCATTCCATGTCTCTTCAATGATAGGCCCCCTTTCCGCCAGACCGTTTCGGTCCGTTCGACCCCTCACGCTGCCAGATGCATCAACCTCGTCGCCGCTCAGGCGTGACGTTCGCGACATTAGCTTCAGCCAAGATCTTGGCTCTGCCACGACGCACGCCTGCGAGTTGCGATAACGAGTCCTGGGCCTTCCTTGGTCAAGGATTGTGCGACACACGACATGCCGCTTGAGGCCAACAAAAGATCCTTTGATGCAGGCTCTGCGATGCCCTGGATTTTACCGTCAGTGTGACAAAGAGAACAAAATCCTCACGCTTACACGCCCCCGAAATAGACTGCTGCTGTTTGGTGTCCTTGAATATTATCTCTGTCAGAGCCGATTCTATCGGAAGAGGCTCAACCGCGAAGAGCGCGCCACCCAAAAGTTACGAGTCTTGGTGGGTGGTGGTATGACGATTCCGAATATGCGAGGCAACATGATGTCTCGTAACTGACTAACAGTCGGTTAATTATTGGTCGGGGCCAGACCACGCTCTGCTACACGCCCATAGATTACATGTGTGGGGACACATAATGTCTTTTGTGCCGTCTTCTCGTTGTATCAAATCAAGACGCATGAGGAAGGCCACTTTGGAGGAGAAATCGCGCAACCATCTCTTGGCCTGTTTTTCTGTTATCACATTATCGGATAAGGAGGAGGACACACCAGGATCTTTTGCCTCAAAAACCCTGGTTTTCTATTCCCAAGCGGACATGGCGCGACGCAGCGCAAACACAATTCACTTATCGCCCCGGATCAGGATATGGCAGGCCCCGGCATCCGATATCCAATGAGTCAATGACAGTGCCGCGCAGAGTACTGAATGTGTAGCTCTCCCAGTATGTCAATTGGCATCGGCTCGTGACGAAAAGTCAAAATGGGGGACATACATCAAGCCGCACGTCAACCCTGATACCGCCTAGTTCCCTGGCAAGCCAGAAGTCTAAATCGTCCACCTTCTTATTTTGTCTTTGGTCCCCGACGATAAGGATAGTTTATCTCTGTGGGGAGAAATAGAATTACGGAAAGACGGACCAAACTAACCTAACCTAACCAAGATGTGTTGGTAAGAGACTTGGTTGTCTGCTGCTCGCCACCTCGGCCATCCACATGCCACATCTTGGTGGCATATTGCTTGGCATACAGAACACCTAGAGACGAGACCCAGTCTCATGACCGCATAGATACAAGAGAATCTGGACGTGCAGATCTGGGGGTGGATACAGGAAGCCCTCGTCCTGCTGTTGAACCTTTGCCCAATGCATCCCTGCCAGCCACACGATCGAGTCTTGGACCAGGAGCTGCTAGCCCAAGGTCCTTCTTGTTTACCCCCAAAACCTGCCAAAAGCTAAGGACGTGGATATTTTATAGTTGGTTCACGGTGAACTGAATGCCAAGCAGGGCAGCCAACACAAGACGGTCCTATTTGGCAATAGCCCAGGACTTTTGACATGAAAAGGAAGAGGCCGCGCTGCTACTCCTTCGGTTGCTTTGTTCCCTTCAATTCACAAGTTTCCTCTCAAACGAGCCAAGAGTCATCTTTGTAGCCGGTTGGCTCTGTACAAGTGGCAGTCATGGAAAAGTCAGAGACGAAGGAGAAGCCGTCTCAGGTTTTGGAGAAGACGGAGGCGTTTGACACTGTCCACCATACCGTAGGTTTCTTCTCCCAATTGCGCATCTTTGGAAAACCAATTCGTGGGACCAGTGTTGCTGAATGGAGCCCCGTAGATTTCAGAGGAAGATGCCGAGCGTACTCATACCGTGGAAGGGTAAGCACGCGTCAGACATCGTTTTGTTTTCTTCTCATCATTGCCGTCTAACAGGACCACAAACCCAGCCACCTTAATGCCACCGAAGATGACATTCTCGAGGCCAAGGAGCTGGCAGCTTCCATGAGCCTGGAGCACGTCCGCCGTGTAAGCCATGGCCATGAGCGCGGCATCTTCAAACTTTCATCTGACATTGTCGAATAGCTCATGAAGAACGTGTTGGCTATCCACGATGGAGACCCCAACTTCCCCCACGTCACTCTGCAGAAGATAAAGGAGTTTATGGGTTCGTACATGCACTGGCCTGTTCATCACCGCCTGTTTTGAGGGCCAATGGCTTACATGGCGCCTCAGATAATCCCGCCATCATGGAGCACCCCGAGAAGCACGAGCGCCTCGTCCAAGAGATGAAGCTCGAAGCCGCTCTCATCACCAACAACAGTCCATACGCCGAAGTCCGCGCCGTCACGGACAACCACGACGACCCCAGCATGCCCGTCTCTACAATCCGTGCCTGGACCATCGGCATCGCCTTTTCATGCCTCCTGGCCTTTGTCAACCAGCTCTTCTCCATACGCCAACCGCCCATCCGATTCGACACCAACATGGCCCAGCTACTTGCCTATCCGGTCGGCAAAGCATGGGAGAAGTGGATGCCCAAGAAGGAGATGCGCGTTCCCTTTACGAGCCAAATCATTAACCTAAACCCAGGGAGATTCAACAAGAAGGAGCACATGCTCATCGCCATCATGGCCAACACGGCTCGAAGCCTGCCTTACACGCAGTACATTATCTGGACCCAGGTGCTCCCTCAGTACTTTAACCAGCAGTACGCACGTAGCTTTTCTTACATCTTCCTCAACGGCTTTGCCACCAACTTTATCGGCTATGGTCTGGCTGGCCTGACGAGAAAGTTCCTCGTGTACCCGTCGTACTGCGTGTGGCCCAGGTCCCTCGTCACCATTGCCCTTAACACCGCTCTGCACAACGAGGAGAACCACTCCGTGCAGGGACCGTTTGGCAAGATCTGGAACATTTCAAGATACCGATTCTTCATGGTATCCTTTGCTGCTATGTTTGTCTACTTTTGGTTCCCCAACTACTTGTTCCAGGTTCTTACGTACTTTTCATGGATGACTTGGATTGCCCCTGATAACGTGCACTTGAATATTCTTACTGGCATGCAGAATGGTCTCGGTGTAAGTTTGAACTCGTTTCTCGACATAAGCAACGATATTGTACATTGACAAAGATGAACTTGACCTGAGTAGCTATTCAACCCCCTTCCCACGTTTGATTGGAACGTCATCAACTTTAACGAGACTGACCCCTTGGTACGTCATCTGCAACCGCAACTCCCCCCTCGAAAAATGAAGAAAAAGAAAACATCTTCTAACCCCCAACCCCTCTTGTCAAAGATGATCCCCTCCTTCTCAACATTCAACTTTGCTGGCGGCATGTTCATCACCGGCCTCTTCATCCTCGGCGTCTGGTACACCAACACGTGGAACACGGCATATCTCCCCATCAACAGCAACCGCATCTACGACCACTTCGGCAAGCTGTACAATGTCTCGCGGACCCTGGACAACCGCGGCATGTTCGATCTCGACAAGTACAGCAAGTACTCTGCGCCCTACATGAGCGCGGCCAACTCGCTGCTGTACGGGTTCTTCTTCGCCATCTACGCCGCTGTCATCACGCACGTTATTCTCTACCACCGGTACGAGCTCAAGATGGGTTTCAAGAACCTTGTCAAGGGGCTACGATGGAGACGCAACAAGAAGGAGAGCGAGGGCGAGCAGGGTAACGAGCGTGCAATGGATGGCGAATACCTCGATGTTCACAATCGTCTCATGGCTGCGTATCCCGAAGGTAACCCCCTTTCACTCTTTTTCTTCCTCTCCTCCTCCCCTCTCTCTTTTATATTGACGGCCGGTGTAGTCTCCGAGTGGTACTACTTCCTTACTCTCATCATCTCTATCGTCTTTGGCGTCCTCGGCATCGCCCTCTGGCCGACGTACACTTCGCCCGCCGTCGTCCTGTACGGTATCTGGCTGTGCCTCATGTTTGTCGTCCCCGTCGGCATCGTCGCCGCCATGACGGGCATCGAGGTCACGCTGAACGTGCTCGCCGAGTTCATCGGCGGCATGATTGTCGAAGGCAACGCTCTGGCCATGAACTTTTTCAAGTCCTACGGGTAACATTCTCTTCTCCGCTGCCCCTGCACAAAATACTCGTCGCACTAAAATCTTTCCTCTAGATACGTTACTTGCGCCCACGCGCTGTCTTTCGCCAACGACCTCAAGCTCGCGCACTACGTCAAGGTAAAATACATGCTCCTCCGTCCAAGCCCGCACAATGTCATGACTGACGTGATTTTCTAGATTCCACCTCGCGTCACCTTTGCCGCACAAATGATTGCCACCTTCATATCCACCCTTATTTGCACCGGCATCATCAAATTCCAGGTAAAAACGCTCCTCTTTCTTTCTTGTCGTCACTACCGATACATATCTCGATTCCCTGTGCGTATATACTAACACGGTGTAGATGGAAATCAGCGGCGTCTGCACGCTCAACCCGCCCATGCGCTTCCGATGCCCCGGCCCAAACACATTCTTCACCGCGTCGGTGCTCTGGGGCACCATCGGTCCCATCAAGGTGTTTGGCAAAGACGGCCAGTACAAATGGCTGCTGCTGGGCTTCCCAATGGGCATCGCCCTCGTGCTCGCCTTCTTCGGGCTCAAGAAGCTGTGGCCGAATAACCGCGCCCTAAGGCAGATTCACCTCGTTGCCGCTATTGCGGGCGGTCTGCAGTGGGCTCCCTATAGTATGTTTTGTTCTTGGTTGCTCCCAGTGTATATGTATGTACATGGTACATGTCGGCGGAAACTAACAAGAGTAGGTTTCTCGTATGCGTTCCCCGCCGTCCCAGTAGCTTGGTTCTCGTGGATCTATATCCGGGGGCGGTACCTCGATTTCTGGTCCAAGGTACGTCTTTTTTTTTTTACTTTGTTTTCTGAATACCGTATTTTGATAGGGAAACTCACAAAGCAAAACGCTGTAGTACAACTTTGTGCTGTCGGCCGCATGGTCCGCGGGCATCGCTATATCGGCCATCATCATGCTCTTCTCGGTTCAATGGGTCGGCGCGGAGATTGAATGGTGGGGCAACACGCAGCCGTCTGCCGGGTGCGAGGGCACGGCGTGCACGCTCAAGTCGTTGGCGCCGGGGGAGAGGTTCTATCCGTGGTGGGACGCGAGCAAGGTTCCTGCTCCGTAGGCGAAGCTGACGAGGAGCCGCTGTGGTCAAGGGGTCAGGGTTAGGGTTAGTTGGTGGGAGTGGGAGTGGAAGTGGAATATGGGATGGTAGTAGTGCGCGGCAGAAGTTGGTCTCGACAGTACAATTACATTATGATTCCAATCATGACATGTATATTTTTTTTCATGACGGCCAGTCTACAAGTCTTTTCCATGAGTAGCCGCAAGGTATAAGGCAAGCTAGAAGTATTGGGCAGAGAAAGCCATCACTCCATCTTCTTGTCGTTGGCCTCGTCGGCATCCTCATCGTCATCAATAGCCCAATCGCGCCAGCCCTCGCCCCTGATCCAGCTGACGCCCTTCCTCCACTCCTTCTCGCGGAGGGCCCGGGCGTCCCTCTCGTACACGACGCCCGTCACCATCAAGGCCAGGACAAACACCCACACGTCACCGCCCTTCATGGCCTTCCACCACCTCCTCTTGACGCCCACCTTCCACAGGCTGTCGACGCTCGCGCGCGCGCTGTACAGGAAGACGCCCCGGCCGTGGCGGCGCTCGACCCACGCCCACAGCCCCGCGAAGAAGCCGCCGAGGAAGAAGCGCTGCGTGGCCAGCACCCGGCGCGGCAGGTACGTCTGGAAGAAGCAGATGGACGCCCAGGCGGTGGAGATGGCGCCCGTGGCGAAGGCGGACATGCGGAGGGCGCTGGCGACGATCTTGCGGATCGTGGTCACGGGGAAGTGGTACAGGGCCTTGAAGCGCGGGACGATGGTGAGGGCCGAGCAGACGACGAGGAAGAAGCGCGCCATCGGGGGGAACGAGCCGAGCCAAAAGGTGAGGAGGGTGCGGGTGCACGACGGGTCCGAGGGGTGCAGCGTCGCGCACGAGAGCGACGTGATGAGCGGGTGCGCCTGGCTCGTCAGCGGCGATATGGCCTCGAGGCCGGGCGGGAGCACCTCCTTGGTCGGGAACATGGTGGGCGATATGTACGCCGGCCAGTTGAGCCTGGCCATGCGGGAGAGGCTCTCGACCACGTCTGTCGTCGAGGGCCATTTTGCGGTGCCCGAGTAGCCCTCGGGGCGCGCGTGCAGGTATCCGTCCGAGTTTTTGAAGATGAACTTGCCGTACGCCTGCAAAACGTCGTCAGCAGCACGCAAGGGACAACTTGTGGGAGAAGGGAAATCGTCAAGGCAGCGGCAACTCACGGCAGGGAAACAGTCCCGGTCAAACACGACGGCGTGCAGCAGCTGGCCAAACGCCAGCGGTTGAAGCATCCAGCTTCCAAACCACCACGGCCGCTCGCGCTTCTTGCCCCCCCGGACGCCCCAGACGAGGCCCTCGCTCTCGCAGACGTTCCAGCCAAACTCGAGCGCGCGGAACATGGCGTAGATGGCGATGGAGACGCGCAGCTGCTGCGAGGGATACACGCCCAGCGCAACGCCGGCGAGCGAGGCGCCAATGGCCGGCGCATACGGCGACGTGAGCGCCGCCGCAGTGCGCGGGTTCCGTCGGCGAAACGGCTCGACCTGCGGGTCCAGGAGGTGAGCCCGCAGCCGCGAGAGGAAGCGGAAGAGAAAGCGGTACAGGAGCAGTATGGACGAGAGGGAGACGGAGAGTCTCAGGGCCGGAGACTTGAGCAGCGGCTGCTTTGGGCCCTTGTCACGGGCACTGGGGGGTTTGTCTGTCAGCACGCCAGCCATCATCTCCGAGGGCAAAATTTCAGGGGAAAACAAAAAGACAAACCTCGGATCCATGCGGCGGGAAATGGCCTCCCAGCCCTTCATGCCAACCATGGTCGCGACAAACACCCTCAGCGCGTGCCGCACAGCCGCGGCGTTGTAGTCGTCGCCGCCCTTCCTCTGCGGCTGCAGCGCCTTGTCCACCGACGCAGGCGTGGGCGCTGCCCGGCGCAGCGTCCTGGACCGCGAAATGATGTACCTGTGCAGCGTGGCATATTCGCGCGCCGAAATGGTATACCGGAGCGTGTTGCGGAGGACGGCGTCGACGGGGGCGGGCGGCGCGCCTTTGGGGGCCGCAGAGGGCGATGCCATTGATGATGGAGGGGCTCTCAAATACAATCTTCGCAGTGTCGAGGGGGTTCGAGGACCAGAGACGAGCTCAGTCGCGAGCTTTTGCGTCGTCGGGGCGTCTCTGCGTCGCGCAGTCACAAGCCAAACCGGTCAGTCAGTCAGTCGGCTGTCATAGCGGCACGCCAGACGGGCTGCTCAGTCTGTCGGCGTACGACAAGGGCGAAAAGGAGGAAGTTAAAAAAGAGTCGGAAAAGGGAGCGTATTGTCCTCGTTATAAAGCTATCGCGGCCACCGGGGGGGAACGACAGCGGTAGCAGGGCCGAACAACAGAGACCGCGCGCGTCGAGGTCGAGGTGGGAGTAGAAGTGAAGTGAAGTGGATGTTCGTGCCATCATCACAAGGCTCGCATCCTCTTCCCATCCCAGCGACGACCTCGGCTTCTAGTCCTATGCAGGCACTTGCTTGGCCCGGAAGGTGGGGCCTCACCTCAGTCCCCATTGACTCCACACCTTGTGCTTCCCAAGCTCCAGACTCCTAATGACGCCTTCAATCTTGTGCTCCTGGCTCAGCGCGCCCAACGCCATCCAATTTACTCCGTACATACCGAGTACAGCTCAGGCATCAACCCGAATTTGCATAAAGACGGCCGGACAACTGCTGGGATTCCCCGCCATCCAAGCCCGTCACACTTTCATAATACTACGTAGTAGTAGTACTGTATGTTTACTCGGTACATTATTGACCTGGCTTTTCAATATGGACCAGACTAGTAAACTAGCAGACGCAAGCGCATTGAAATAATTTCCCGTCCTTCATGCTCCCTCATGTGCTGCTCGTAAACAACATTAAACCTATGTACCTATGCATACCTGCCTACACGTCAACTACTAGGTAGGCTCGGTGTTCCCATGGCCATCATATCTTTCACTTGTTTGCTTACACACTGCTCACCATTCGTAAATTGCTTTTATTCATCCCATGCCATTTCTTGTCGTCCCCAAAATGCACAAGCCCATCTAGCATCCAGTTTGGCGGCGCGAAAAAACCTGCATCTCTGGTGCTGGTGCTGGTGCTGGTGCCCCTCGTAATCAAATCTCCATGCTCAACCCCGGACTTTTGGTTACACAAAAACCACAACCCCCAACGTATCATGTGTCATCCGTCGTCGCCCATAACAGTTTTGGTATCAACTTTTGCTCCGACCCTTCCTGCGCCCGTCCACGCACCGTATGGACCTGCGACGGGACCACCCACTTACTTCTCTGGCTCAACTCTTGCTGCCCTCCCCATCAACCCTCAGCTGCGAAACCGCCCTCAACCTACTGCTACAGGATCCAGCGCAGTATCCATGATGCAGAATGCCCAAGTTTGATGTCCCGTGGCCTCCGCGGTACGCCTGCTCCTCCGTAATCCTTGCCTAAGCCACATCCCTAACCAAGCTTCCCCAGACGCCGTCAAACCTATAGCCTGCAATCACGCGAGGTGCAAAATGGCCTGGATTGCTATATTTGACCTGGACGTACTCCCGCCATGTCGCAGCTCCTGCCTTCTACCGAGTGCACTGCTTCGCATGTCATGGTAGCCTTCTTGGCACATAGAATGTATTTTTCCGCCATTAGCCGGCTCATCCTGTTCTCCATAGACAAGCGGCCTTGAAAAGAAACGTTATTAATGAGAGGCCACATAGGGAACCCTTCCTGCCTCAAACTCCATGCACGAGCAAGTAACAATATTCTCACGAAAAAAAAAATGCATCCCTTTAACTTTTTAATGAAAATGCAATGTATGCCGGCGACTTCGTCAACCACCATTCGTTGTTTCGTAGCGCGTAGACTTGCCCGGTCAGGGGTAGGCAGCTTCCGGATTTCCCTGACGTTCCACAAAGGGGACCCATTTCCGCCCAAGAGACGGTCCGTCAGCATTACCGTAGGGAAGAATCTCCTCCTGCCAGCCAAGAGGACTCCAAGGGCCCATGTCCTGAGGAGTAGGGCTGCACAGTGCAGAACGGAGCGAGAGGGGGCTTTGAAGACGTCCCCTTAGGACGGCGTCAAGAGTGCGATGTCGTCGCGCTTCTCGCTCTTCCACGGCACTCCGAATGATGCGATAACGCGACTCTGCGTTCGCCCATCCGTTTACGTTTCCAGAGCCTGCAGATTCTAGAATCATCTTTAGTTGAAAGAACGGAAGGTTGATCAGGGCTCGGGACAACACCACAAGTGGAACGGGTTGAGCCTGCTGCGCCGCCTTTGGAGTCACAGAGTCCGATCCGCCGGCTTCCTCCGCCAAAGATAGGTCGCCAAACTGTATTCCTGTCAGCTGCTGAGAACGGCGGCCCATTCCAAGGTGCACCGAAGATCCTTTCGCAACAATAGGACCGCGCTTCTTACTGGCCGGCGATGGCGGAGGGCATTCCGGCAGGCGGGCATACTGTTCCGGGTGTCCTGCACCTGTGTCGAGACTGAATGTGGGAGGGAGATTATGAACGATGAAAGTGACCACCGCATTGAGGAGAACCTTGGACCCTTCGCCATACTTGTAAGACATGTGGGAGCCGTTGTCAGAAGACCCCTCAAGAGCAAACTCAATCACCTTCTCCAGGGTCTGCCAGCTCAACAACTGAGTTGCGACCTCACAGCCTCTGCGAACAACAGGCATCCAACCTAGCAAGTGGCCAGCCGCAGCGTAAGACAAGGCAAAGTCAAGCTGTTCGTGGGAGGTGCCGGCATCGGTGACATCGGCCGGTTCTGCGCGGTTTCGGGGCGGAATAGGGAGAAGAGGGTGTCCGTAAAGTCTCTGAACAGCCATGTAGAAGGAGTCGGATCGAATCCACCCACTCCTGGTCTCTAGTAGCAGGATTTGCATACCCCGGTCAGACACTTGATGCATTTGGTTCTTAACCTGCTCAGCAAGGGGGCCACTGCGGGCAAAGATCAATCGGTGTCCTGGAATACGGACAGGAGCAGCTCTGTCGTCAACGTATCTGAGCTCAAGAGTGCAATCAGCCAGCTCAGCATTGCCAAATTGCTGTTGAATGAAGAAGAGGAATCCATCACTGCCGTCATCGAGGATAGCACCCTGATGCGGAAAGCTGCCTCTTGGCATCATTCCCAGATACTCTGGGTGACCGAACATTCTCCCTTGGTGGCTATGAACATGTCCATCAGAATCTCCAGGCCCAGTAGCACCGTTGCGATTTCCATTGGGTGGGTATTGGTGATACATGCCGCTGTCATCGGGGTGGCCAGAAGACTGGGAGCCGTGGAAGCTATGGGGTGTCGAAGGCCCAAAATTGTTGCCATATGGTGAAAAGGTCTCCAAAGGACCGTACGCCATCCCTGGTCGCCCGTAGTTGTCGAAGTGGCCGGGCTGCATCATCTCTGCGCCGTACGGCGGCATCATCGGTGGGAAGCCGCTCCCTGCCGGTGCCATGTATGCGGGACGAGCATCAGCCGTTGTCATGCCTGGTGGAGGGACCATACCTCCGGTGTGAGGAGGCGCTGGAGACGGGCTTTGCGACCCAGGGAATGCGCCAAAGTGAATGCTACTATTGCTGGGGTGCGAATGGTGCATATGGACCGGCCCATTGGGTAGAGGAACAGGCGGGCCACGCGAGATGTCATTATTGTTCACAACGGCATATGGTCGACTGGCGGGCTGAAATGGAGGGGGCATCTGATAACGAGAAGGCGAGATGCCCGGTGGTGGCTGACCTTTGGCGGCTTTGACAGCATGATGTTGGACTAAATAATGCGGGTTAGCAAATAAATGATGCCCCTGGCGGAATGCATGCTCCTGAGTTGACCAACCTGGCTTCTGCCTTGGCTCATTCTTGGACGCAACATTGGAGTCGGTGGCTGGCTCTGATGTCGGCTCAGGTGAAGTCGACTCAGCCTGGGAGACACCGGCGGCTGTCTGTCCACTGACGGTGGCCCCATTTGGCTTCTTATCCGAGTCGATCTCGTCAGTCGTCGTCATTGTCGACTTGTTCCCAGCCGGGGTCTCGGATTCGACAGCCTCTGCAACTAGAAAGCAGACTCGGCATCAGCAAAAGGCAGCTCACAAACTTTCAACAGACAATGCCATCCAACATGGAAATTCACTTACCAACCGTGACGTGTCCGTTTGTGCTGGGCCCTCCGTTGGCTGAACCATCGGATCCTGGCAGTGACTCAGTCTTTGGCTGCGAAATGAGAGCCACGGGAGCGGTGGCATTCCCAGCAACGGTTTCCGGCGCTACACCATTGGCAACCTGCTTAGTTTGAGACGCCTCCGAATTAGCACCATTTGCCTTGGTGCCTGGAGCCGTGGCCGCATCGTCCTTGGTGGCAACGGTGACCGGCGCCGGTTTCCGCTTCAAAGGCAACGCAGGCACCACAGGCTTCGGCATGTTCTTAGGGGTGACAGCCTTTCGGCCCTTGGCAGAGCCATTTGGCGGCGCCATAGGTGCAACCGAGTCGTATTGGCGATGGATGGGATGAGCCAAAGACGATTATGTGATTTTCTCGTGGGACGTGGGTCGAAAAGTCGGGCATCCGAAGCTCGGGGGGGAGGCGGCGAGGCGGGCAAGGTGTGGTCTGGGCTTGTTTTTCCACAGCCAACGCCGGGCCGCAGGAACAAGGGGAGGAGAGAAGAAAATGCTCAATGCTCTAGACGCCTCGACCAGTACGCGTAGGTTCCGTCATGAGAGGATGCACCGAGTCGCATGCACCTCTCACCAGACGTCCCAGGGCGTGGTGTTGAGGGGAAGAGAGGATCGTGGTCCTGTGGGCGCCAGCAGAGGATTGGGGGAGGAAAAAAAGAATGGAGCTGGTCGTGGTCGCTGGCCACTGACAGCTGGCAGCTGGCCACTGCGTACTCCGTTCTTCAAGCACTTGAAACTTTGCAACCAGACATGGACTCTCGATGAACTCCGGGACCCTGCGGCCGTTCTCACTGGTCCAGGTCCCGCTCGTCAGCCTGTTGACCCTTTGCAGCATTTGAACATGGGGAGCAGTGGCGGCATGGACACCTACCTGGCTTGGTCGTAGAAGAATGCTGAACAAGCAAAAAAATATACCAGTCGGGGTCAAACAAGCCTCTCGGTTTTATGTACGCAATTCGTGGCCAGGCTCTCGTCCACAGTCTGGAATACTGTCTGGTGTGTTATAACCTGTTCATTTACGGCGCTTATAGCCGATCCCCGCAAATTGGAGGCCACAACAAACTGGGTGACAGCGACAAACTGCAACGCCAAACTGCAACATTGAACACGCCACAGGTGTAGCCAATCTGTGGCTGGAGCCAGTCCACCCACGCCACACCCTAGGCTACCCGAAAACAGACCGGAAGAATCCGCCTGCAGGCGCTCCCCGACCCTGCGCCTACGAAATATCAAATAACATTATTTTGCATCGGGACAAATATGCTCGTCAGGTACAAAAATTCACGGTTGCATCGCCATTTCAACTGCATCGGCTCTTATTCGTGCACCCAAGCAGTATCTTTACTGTACATATCCATGCACAATAGGTCTGAATCATTGCCCCCCGCTATATCCTGGGCTTTCTGTATCCCCAACAGCCTCCTGGTCATGTAAAATCATAAATTCATGAACTCGCTAGCACAAGAGCCGTTCCCAAAAATTGTATATACACCACACGATGCCGAAAGTTGAGTCTCAGGGGCGGGAGAGAGAGGGAGAAAGATTATACATCATGTTCCTCTCTCCTCGACGACCCTGGTTTTTGCGCGTACCAAAAGTAGTAGTTGAAATACCGATGAGTCGACGTGTCTTCCAAGCCTTTTCTCGCCAGGGCCACTCGAATCTCTGCATCTGCCTCCGATATTTGCAGAGCCTGGAACGGTCGGCCCGCTAGCGTTGGGATAAAGTCGAGTATCGCCATTTTCTGATAAAGCCCTATTGCTCTCATGATTTTCCCCTTTGCCCATGTTCCGATGGGAACTTTCATTACTCTGCAGTGTACGTTTTCAAATCCAGCTTCGCGGAGGTAGGGCTCGAGCTGTGCGGGTAGTGTTGTGCTCATGCCGAATTTCTTGTACGCGGCACCCGCGGTATCGTAGAGAGATTTTACGGGATCCTCGTCTGGCATTGTCCCGTCGTCGCATAGTGGTACGCCATGTAGCTCTTGTAGCTCAACCCACCCACCGGGGCGGAGACTCCTAGGGTGATTGTCAATAACAAAACCATGGCCAGCCTCAGGCAAAGTCAAACGGCACCAAATCACGTACTCGTAGGCATGGCCGAGGACGGTAGGAATGTCCTTTAGTATCATGACCATGAACCGGAAATGAGCTAGGTCAACATCTCTCTCTATCCAGTCCAAGGTGCAGTCGTCGACTAGAAAGGAAACATTGGCCGGAACCCATTCGGGTTGAATCGGCGTGAGGTCGATGCCACAGACATGCGCGCTCGGATACCTATCACCGACTAAGTGCGAAACTGTTAGCTAGGTAGACCTACTCAATAACCATGGACCACTGTTATGAACCTTCTATAGCCCAAATCCCTATCGTCATGTGGCGTCAGTGGAATGTTCTGAGCAAATGTTTTGCTTGGATGCGGAAAGGAAGCTAACCAGTTCCTGTGCCTATGTCTAGTATCTTTTGCGGGTGCGTCCCTACCGGTGAGAAAAACGGCTTCCCCTCGGTGAGCATCATCAACATGGCATGCTTCATATCCTCCCTGTTTTGCTCCAAGTCATCGTTGGGAATGGGATACCGGCCATCTCCAAATGTTTGGTACCGTCGCCCACGCTCGTACGCAAAGGAGGTGTAGATACTCGAGGCTAGACTTGCTGTCGTGTCGTCTCCCTGTAAACCGCTGTCCAGATCGAATTCGTCATCTGACTCGGTGGCGGGTTCAATCACCGGCGTTTGTGTCGCCCGAACCCCGGCAGAGGGCCCCGGGGATGATGATGATGATGCTTCTGCTGCTGCTTCTGCTGATGGTGGTGCTTCCTGAAGATCGATGGGCGCTTCGACTTTGGCGTCGTCGTCATCCACGGGTTTAGAGTCGGCCAAGTCGGTAAGCCCAACGCTCTTAGTCCGCTCGCGAGATCTTGAGAAGACCATCGCGGTAGCCGGCAGACAAGCGTGCTCGGCACGGATGACAATATGAATACAGATGATGGCGGTAATGGCGATGGTGACTGGCGATGGCCAAAGGAGTTCTTAAGATGGTGCGTTGACGAACTCGTGCTAATGTCTCAATGCCTGTTTCTTGACGCAAGAAATGCGACATAGACTGCTTGGCGGACCAGCGGAAAGCGGCTTGGGCGGGTATGAGTAGCAACTGAAGAGATGAATCCTGCCCTGCTTGCCTGGTCAAATTTGTCTCAAACGACCAGAAGGCAGAGGTGGCGCGTATAGTCACGATTCTGGCTTGCGCCGAACGGCCGCCCATGTATAGCCGTATCAGGGCCGCTAGGCCGCCGCCACCGGAGGGTGTTAGGCGAGCACTCTCAACTGAGACCTCTGGGGGGGGCGGATTGCGGCCGGGGAGCAGACAGAGGTGACCTGTCATTGCGTCGACTGATGAGCCATCATCTTAGCCAAAGCGGGGGCCTGGCGTTGGCCTTGTGTTACACTGGCTGCCCTACTCGACCGGAGGGTCACCTGTTACACACGATCGATTGTATTGTGGCCAATATTGCATTAAGGTTCACATTGACATCTCAACAATGGCAACTGGCCCCATCCGGGGAAGAAGCCTCAAGACCAGAAGCACCCCACTTGGATCAGTCAATCCTTCGATGCTGCCGTGTTTCCAGATCCACAGTCGCCCCAGTCCCTAGTCCACTCTCAGCTCACAATGCAAGCCGTGCCGTGTCAAAACTGGACATGATTGAAAAAAAAAAATCATACGGAGTAATTTTTAAATAAGCAATGTCGCGCCGCTCACACACGCTTTCGGAAGTCGTAAATCATGACTCGCTCTTGGCATGTCCCCGCGTTGCCATGAGCATCTTCTTGACCGTATCTAGGTCGAAGGATTTCCTGGCCTCTGCCAAGGATTCCTGAACCGCTCGTGCACCTCTCCGAATCATCTCATTGTCGTAGTTGGTCAGTACCTCTTCTCTGTGCACACTGCTGCTGCCCAACGTGTTCAGCCCAGTCAGGGCCTTGACATAGTTGTCGACATCTGTGATGGAGTGCTGAAACCCTTGGCCGCGATCTAAAGAAATGTTCAGTCAGTTCATCTCGTCTGCCACAGAGCCGCTTCCTGGGGGAGTTGTGAAACAAACAGATTAGCATTGGATGGGCTGCGTCGCCGGCAAGCGTCACCCGGCCTCCATGATTGTCCCAGGGCACGGGGCTCCAGTATTTCATCTCATCGATGAACACATTGCTGTTTTCCGGCGTCCAGTCAATGGCGGACTGGAACACGTCACGCAGCGGTGTCGTGTTCTCTCTGATGTAGGTGAGGGCATCGCTGCCCCTGAGATGCACTGCCTCGCCGTTCCATATCTTGGTCCAGAACGTCGTCCAACTGGACTCATCTACTGGATTTTCGACTGACATGACTGCAGGAAGGATAACGCTATTTGTTAGCCATCAATTATAATGCTGGCAACCCACTTCTCCGGCTTGAACGTGGACGAGTGAACGTACCGCCAACAGCCCCGACTGAGGTTGTTCCCATCATCAATGCGGCTACGGGATGAGCGCGCACAATGGCATCAGTCTTCTCGGCGTCTCCAAACTTTGTAATGCCAGTGGCAAATTGGAACCCGGAACCGTGAGGCCGGGAGGCGTCGGGGCCCAACAAAAACTCGCGTACTTTGGAAGAAGAGCCATCGGTTCCCAGCACATAGTCAGCATCAAAGACACTGCCATCTCCCAATTTGATGTGCACCCCGGTGTCTGACAGAGAAAGGTCTATCAAGGGGGCATCCCATCTAATGTCGACTCTCCGTGCAAGCAACCGGCGCAAGGCCTGCCGGCTGACTCGCCTGGCATTAGGCAGAGGGCTGCGAAAGAGCAAATCGCCGGTGACTCCGTTGTAACACGGGATGCTCTCTACTTCACTGTTGAAGTCCAGATACGGGTTGCAAACGGCGCTTTTCAAATCGGCAAGAATGTCCTTTGGCACCAACTTCTCGAAGATGGGCATGGCCCAGTGGACCAACATGGTCCAGTCCCGGTGCCTTGCATCGATGCTGACCTCTTGCTCGAAGACGACGGCACGGAAGCCATTCTGTGCGACTTGGGTAAGCAAAAGCTGAGATGGAAATGACCAGAACGGCACACTGCGTCTTACCTGCTGCAGCCCTTGTGCGGCGAGCAGACCCGTCAGCCCCGCTCCAATGATGGCAACAGTCTTCTTGGCCGAGGTAGAAACCGTCATGTCTATGGGGAAGTGAGAAGGTGTTTTGCCAGTCAAGAAGTCAAGAAGGATGAAGACCAACAACGTCCCATATGTATAACCAACAACCGGTCTGGAGGCCCAAGCGTGGTGTGTCTTGCCTCTAAGTAAGCAAAGAGTCCGGAGAGAGCAGAGCCCTTTGGCAAGGTCCGTTCGCCAACAGAGGCGGGGTCTGGGAAGTAATTATCTAGCCCTTGGCTTGACCATGGCCGACGGAGCAATATCTACGGAGCGACTTCGCGGGTCGGCCTGGTCCAGGGTGACCAGGCCAAACCCAAGGCACCGTGTGGATGGGGACCATCTGGAAAGCTATAATTTCAGATGCCATGTTGCAGTGTGCTAGTATTTCCATCAGCTCATGGCGCCACCGCGTGTGTCGGCAAGCACAGTCGGTGGGGTTCAGCGAACAGAAGAAGAAACCCCATGCGAATGCAACTTGACTTGACTTGATTCAGTAGCGGCTCTAGCAAGAGAGTTTAGCAGGGATTGCTGAGTAGCAAGTACTTGGGTAGGCAGTCAAGTGTCAAGTGTACCTAATAAAAGTATGTAACTCATGTGCTGGCGTTGATGACGCCTGGTTGCTGGCATCCATGTATGTATTAGTATCCGCGCAATCAACTGATACTTGATGTCTGGTCTGATGTGTCTTGTCGTCGGCAAAGGTGGACCGGCGTCGGGACAGCGCCTTCCTCGAACGAGGAAGTTTTGGCCCGCCTGACTGGTCGTCGACGTCTGCTGCTTATTGCTGTCTCGGATTAGGCCCCATTCAACCCGACGGACTGGTGCGGCCTGGTTCAACCGTCAGAATCATCTGCAAGCCGAGTGTGACAGCATAAGCAGCGACGGCAACGCGATAAGAAGCACCCCGGCGAACAAGCCAGACAAAGCAAACCGCGGGTCCGGTACGCGGCGTCGCAGGCCTTCCCGCTGCCACTGTCGAAAACATGTTGCGTCGACTCCGCATATGACGGCAAGACCACGCCCGCTCGACGCCGCTAGCTCGCACCCCCAAGTCATGCAAAGAGGATTCAATTGTTTCACCCAAGTCAGCGGGCGAGCAGTTAGCAGGTACAGAGTACGCAAACAAGGACCAGTTGACATTGTCAGTAACACTGAACTGACCAGACATGCACGACGGTGTGTCTTCAATGTTGCAGCCGGAACGCGAACCCAAAGTCCCAACCAGACTGGGTGAAGTGCCATGGCCCCCCGCTTCCCTCCTTCCCTCCTTCCTCCACTGTGCAGCTCCTAACTTGGGTACTCAAGTACCTAAGGTAGGAAGGTAGGTTCACGTGCATGCAAGCTTCAAATGTCACCCGCAATACTACTGGATACCGACCGCTACAAGGCCCACTGGCGCAGGGGTTCAAACCACGCCCGCGGTTCGAAGTTGCATTTGATTCAACTTTAGAACGTCTGGTTGGAATGGACTGCTCATCAGCAGTCGATCGTCAGCCGTCTGGCCGCGGATAGTGACCATGTACTTGCGCTGGATGAAATAGATGCACAGCCCGCCGTACGACCACGAATCAAAGTAACACCATACGGGCTCATTCTCCGTACATACAATCCAGCCAGCGGCATGATAACATCACGGGGGTTCGCTTACACGGTCCGTATAGCAGGGTTGGATATAAGAGCCGCGGCTTAACAAACTAGATGCTTGGCACATGTCCTTCGTCCTAGGGTTCTTGCAACTACGTACCAGCTTGGGCCCGGCCATGGGTGTTGTCAAGAGCTAGCCCTGCCCGCACATATGGCGTGCGTAAATTTACTGTGGTGAGCGACGAGCGTCTGGTTGACTATTGGTTCTCTTGCAGTCGTATATGCAGCTCTGCCCGGTGTATCCGGGATAACTCTGCCAAAAGTAAGTCCTTGTTCTGTTGTACTTGAGCAGTTACGTGGGATGTGTGATGGTTGCACATCTACCTAGGTAGGCGCTGATCTGCGGTATTTGATAGACGTGGTAGCAGCCATTCGTTCTTGTCTCGTCGCCAATTCCCGTCTGATACTCCGTACATACGCAGGGGAGGCCACTGCAGCATTGGCCGTTCTTAGTTACAACTGCGTTACGTCCGTCAAATCATTCCTTTATGCGCTGCCGTCATTTCAAAATGCAGTCCGCGGATACCATTCATTTGGCTCTTTCGATCTGCAATGGCCGAAGTGCTTGCTCCGTACCACACCAGCTAATCTGGGCTCGGCGACCAAAAAGAGAAAATTAGTCAAAATGAAAGACGGTGGTTATTATCGACCAGGTATCCATGGTAGATGGCGTTTTGGGACGGCGTCGTTGACTTCTTGGGTAAAAGCATACGTCTGCGGCTGATTGTGGCACGCCACACGCCTCGGCAATTGTTTCATCTACATGGCGAAATGCAGTATTCACATTTTAATCAGTCCACATTTGACGTTAGAATTAAACGCCTGGCCTCGATCGGTCACCAGTAGCAATCCGGGTGAGTAAGTGGCGAAAGGCAAATGTAAGACGCCGAGACTTGGAAGCAGCCGCTAGAGAGCAAGTTGATTGATAACTATTGATGGATATACACGCAGTTTCTCTCACCAAACAACCCGAGCCACGTCGATCCGTAGGTGCCAGTCCAATTTGTGTAAAAGTTGAAGAGCAGCCGAGGCTTGGCTGAACATGTCAAGATCAAGTCGCTCATTAGAGGCAACAGAAATTGTTATATCGCTGCCGCAGGCAGCTATTAATCACGGCAGGGTTATCCTGCCGCCACCGCAACGTCCAAGTCGTCGTCCAAGTCGTCGTCCAAGTTGATGCACAACCAGGCACTTGTATGCATAGTTCAGAGTTGCAATTCACAAGGGCGATGGGGACAGTCGATGAGTATAAAGTAATAATGCCTGACATGGATCTAGCTGCATGGCTGTCATTCAACTCACTCCGCTGCTGGCAGAAATATGTTTTGAGGCGTTGGGAATTGCCATTTCGCAGTGTGTTCTCTCGTCCAGGTATTCATCTACCGTATCGCGATACATGATCATGATGGTTCCCTCATGGCCAAATTAAACGAGGGTCATGGAGCCCAGCACATCATTTCTCAAAACGTCTAGACTCTCTTCATCCTAATACACCTATGTTGTCACTCTGCCACCCATTTCATACTATCAGAAGGAACATGATGACGCACGCATTCAGCCAAATCAATCCCAACGCTGCTAGTTTGTCTACTGATGCAAGACTGAATAGATTCTGTACAAAAAGAAATCGCTCACCTCGTAGCGCGAGTCCTTCGTATATGAAGCTCGCGGCCGCGCCAAACATCCAGCAACTACGGATGCATGACACGCATTAATCACGGCCCACGCGTTCCGCCTGTCAGCCACTTTCCCTCGCCCTACGCAATCCCTTCGCCGTTCACGAGCCTTGCAATAAGCACGTAAATAAAGATTGCCGCTCCCGCCACCAGCAGTTTGTTCCGATATATCCAACCGCGGCCAGCATCACGTTGCTGAACAACAGCATCCACTACAGCCTGTGCTTGGTGGCCGCTAGTCCCTGCAATCCCTAGCTGTGGCCCGCATGATGATCCGCCCTCGCCGTCCAACCGGTTTCCCGTTGTCGAGTCGACCTTATTCTTCCTCATCCACTCCCAGTTGTCCAGGTCGACCTCGGGCCATTCGGCACGGAACTTGGCGCCGCCGTCACCAGCCTTCACATTGCCCTTTAGAGCAGGATTTTTAGCATGCGATCCTCCGCCTGTAGAGTTCCACCATCGGGTCCGTGAGGAGAGGTATTTCTTTTCTGTTTGGGTTGTTGACACCGAACCAGTGGTCATCTCATCACTCGTCATGAATGACAGTAGACCGATAAGAATGGTCGAAACCTCCCACGCGGGGTTGAACGACTTTGGATGAAAGTCTGATATCGACAGGCACAGTCGAGTCGACGGTTGGAATCGTCCCGAAGGTGTGTGCATGCGGATGGCTGGCGGCGCAAACGGATAGTTGGGAGGGAAGATCAGAGTGCCCCAGTATTGGCCGCCGTGGTAAGGCGTGTCTTCGGGCCCGGTAATTATGTAGTGCCATCTGTAATCATCATCAGCGATATGTAAAGGTGTGGGAGTGTTTGTCTGCAAAAGGCATACTCCAAGATATTCGACTCGGAAGGGTGGGCTGTGATGTAAGGTGGCGGGTTCTCGGAAATAGTCTTGTATTCGCGGGTCAACTGTTGGAGGCGTTAGTATAGCCCAGTATACCGAGGCAACATTTCTCGTGAATATCTATCCTACCCGCTTATGTGCAGCTTTGCTTGCCATGAGTTCTGATGTTTCAGTGACGGTGTTATCTCGGGTCGAAAACGTCAGCCAAACACAAATAAGGGCAGAATGATCGCGTGCGTGCCGGCGGGCTGCGTCACACTACAAAGAGGTCAAGGGAGAGCGGCGGCAGGACGCAGTCAAAACGAAGAAGGGGTCGCTTTACAAAACAGAGAGAATGAATGTGAATCCAATGTCCTTGGTCGAATTTTAGATGAATGAAGAAGCAAGTTGGGCCAGGTCGCAATGTTGAAACAGCCCGAGACGGACTCAGCCGGGGGCGAAGTACCTCTCCAGCCACACAAGACCCACTTCACATACATGCGCCACCTTGGATTAAATTGTGGCGCTTAGCACGGTTCCCGATCCCTGCCGATACCCAAAGGGCAAACGTCTCGGAGCTTGAAGTTGCTCAAGCTTCGGTTTTGCGATGCTGCCATATTTTGGCTTTAGCTTGTCGTGCTGCCTCCAGTCTTTGCCATGGCGCCAAACGCGAGCACTGCCGCAGGGCAGGTGAGTAATACGACGACCCTTGCAATTGAACGATTACAAAAGCTTACAGTTAAAGCAGGCCAGTGGTCTGATCGACAAGCTCCAGTCGAGTACGGACGAGGTTCTCAATGCTGCCAAAACATCGCCCGAGTTCCGCAACGCCGAGCATGAGGCCAAGGAACGAAGAATTGCGCAAATGGTATGATGCGGCCGGAAGTGTGTGATAGAAAGCTGTTCTAACAGACTTTCCAGATGGCGGATCAGATGTCGATGCCCATGACCGTCAATGAGATCTCAGTCCATGGTGCCAAGAACATTCGGCGAGGCTTTCTGGGCCCAATCTTCTCCCCGTTGCTCCGCGATGGCTCTAGCGCGCCTTCTACTGTTGGCGATGTCATGGCCAAGCTTCAAATGGCGAGTTCAAAGCTCTCTGGGTTGCGTGAGTTGCCGGCGCATCGAGGCCATCGTACTGGACAAAATCATTTGCTAACAGCCCGTAGAGATTCTAAGAGAACCTCCAGAGATATACTTGTCACAGGCCAGCCAGGTCGACCCCTCTACGAGCCCAAGCGATGTCAACATATCCATTGGATTGAAAGAACTTCCCCTATTCAAACTCCAAACTGGTACCGATGTGGGTAATGGTGAAGGGTCGGCCTACGGATCTCTACTTTGGAGAAACATGTTTGGCGGAGCAGAAATGCTGACCTTGAATGCCAAAGCCGGAACACGGACAAGATCAGCCTACAGCGCCAACTTGAGTGCTCCAGTATTGAGTGATCCCGACAGGCGAATTTCGCTGGAAGGACTAGCATCGGCTGCGGAAAAGCCATGGGCGTCACATGAAGAGGTAGTGAAGGGGGCCTCTTTGCGCTTCTCCTGGCTTAATGCTGAAAGAGACACGCATTCAGTTGAATATTCCGGCGCATGGCGACAAATCACTGGCCTGGGGCAAGGTGCTAGCCCTACAGTTCGTCAGGATGCTGGCGATACGATAAAAAGCGCCATCAAACACACTTTCCATCGAGAAAGGCGTGACAATCCACAGCTCCCCCAATCCGGTTACATGCTACGGTCTGGGCTGGAACTTGCTGGTATCGGCCCCCTCGGCGGCGATGTCTCCTTCTCCAAGGGCGAGGTTGAAATGAGCGGTGCCATCCCCATCCCACTGCCCGGCGCTCAAGAGCGATCAGGTGCATCTGTCGGAGCAGGTTTCAGAATGGGCATGCTCTATCCTCTACCTCTGGGCTTCGACCTAGGCGGCAAGTCGGCACCTAGCCGTCTGAATGACCGCTTTCAGCTGGGCGGACCGACCGACGTTCGTGGATTCAAGCTCGGCGGCCTCGGGCCTCACGACGGTGTAGACGCAGTAGGAGGCGATCTGTTCGCTGCTGCAAGTGTAAATATGCTGCTGCCCCTTCCGTATAAAGGACCAGAATCTGGCCTCCGCTTCCAAATGTTCGCCAACGGCGGCCGGCTGGTCGCTCTGAAGAACAGGAGCAAGTCGACGGAGGCTGGATTGCAAGGACTGAGTGGCAGCGCCGTCCGCGATGGCATGCTCGGTGCCGTTGGGGATTTATTCAACGGCGCGCCCAGCATGGCTGCTGGTGTCGGCCTTGTGTATGCTCACCCTGTAGCCAGGTTTGAGCTCAACTTTAGTCTGCCTCTGATCCTTCGCCGGGGCGAGGTTGGAACTAAAGGCTTTCAGATGGGAGTTGGCATCAACTTCTTGTAATTATAGTCTCCTGTTGTGATAGAGAACAAAGTTTTCTTTTGTAAAGATGGACATTTAGCGCATTTGCCTCGTCAACCCTGACATTTGTCGTCTCTACTTGCCCGCGTACCCTTCGACTTTTTTTTGTAGACACGTCTGTGAAATTTTGCAGAATTGCCATGACTCTTTGTTATTTATCACGGAATATTCACTCAGAACCAGTGCAAGGTTTCTCAACCCGTCCTGGCCTCGGTTCATGCACACATTTCAGTTCAGTGGGATACCCTCCTCAAGAAGGGAAAACCGCAACTGTATACATCCAAGAGTGGCTCGAGAACCACGTCAGGGAAGTTGAAATGGGCATACGTTAGTACGTATTGTCTCGGCCTAGTACATTCAGTGTTGCTAAACTGCCCGCATTCCAACCCGGTGACTCCAGCTCATCACGTAGACTTCAGCGGTACCGTCGACATCTCCGATGTACTTCTAGCTACCTTCTATCAGGGGAACGACATGAATTGAAAGGAGGGGCGCATAGGCAGGGAAAACATCTGCAGGTCGGATGCACCACCCCATCGTCGCAGTATACAGCAAGAGGTCACATATAGTCGACCCCTTTGGAGCCACTCAACGCCACCGGGTGCCCGAATACTTGTGCGAGATGCGTCACCGGCGACTGGCACACACAAGCAACCGCCCGGGATGCGTCAGACATTGCACCTCTACCCGAGCCCAGATACCAGACCTAGGATTGATGAGCAGACTCCAGTCCGGCTGGGCTGATGACGGCTGGCCAAACTGGTTTCTGTGATGCGCCTCTGACTTGGTGCTTCGTGTTGCCTGGGCCGCATGTGATCTGCCACTTGATGATGACGTTGGACTATTCAGGCTGCACTTTTGCGCTTCATCGCCCACGCACTCTCGGGTCCGACGACGTGTCCGTGGCTGACCCCGAAAAGACCATCGGATAACTACCTCTATTCTATCATCTATTGTCGCGCGCTTAGGGCGGAGTGGGCTTGCGGACTTTTGGCGGCACGAGCAGATTATATTAACAACTGCTCCAAGGGTTGTGAAAGGGTCGTCCTCGCTAGTCAAGCAAGGGAGGACCTAGTTCGGAAATAGGAGAACGGGGCACTACACATGCTTTTCTTGATCATTTGGTGATGGCAAGATCAGCCTTGCCCTGCCGGCCACTAATTTCATACAGTGTTGTTGCTCAAGTCCTGCAATGTGTTTCATTGCGAGGAATAAGACGGCTGGAAATGAGATTAGACAATATATCGCCGCAGGACGTCACGTACCCCCGGGGCGTTGAATTCATTCCTTTTTTCGGACACCCCTTTGACAGCCAGCGAGGCCAAGGAAGCACGAATTCGCCATTGATATTAGCAGATGGCTGCCATCCGGCTTATTGCAACCCGCAAAGCTTACAGCGCGCAACAATGCGATATATAAACGTTGGAAAGGGCGCATGCCATGTGTCGTGTGAGACTTTGGCCCTGACATAAATAGCACAGCAAGGGTGGTAACACACTATGCAAGACACATCGATCCTGCACGTGTTTTACAAGACAGGAAGAGAATTATGTAGCATGATAGGCAGCTGGGTCGTGAGCGAGATGGCTGGCCCTGACGCGATCTGATAATGCACACCGCCTGGACACAATGAAGAAATTCACTCCATGGGTTCCCAGCAGTTTGGCGAATGCTGGTAACCGAAAGCATCAGAAACCAACATCTTAAAGCCGCAGTACCTGAGACAGGATTCATCGAGGACTGGTTGGGCCCACTCTGACGACGATTTCGCTTTGTTTCACACACCCTCTCTGGGAGATGCCATAAAAGAATTCCCGGCCAGAGTGCCCACAGCTGACACAGGGCGAAGCTGGCCGTGGAATCCGCGTGGCTCTAGAAACATTGACCAGGCTCATCGTGGGCTGGCGGTGTGGGGGCGGATTGTCGGGTTGCTCCAAGACCCCGAACTTTAAAATGCTCTTGACAGACGTAATTCGGATCCGGGTCCGTCCGGGCAGATGATGGTGCTGAGAATGATGGTGTTGGCCTCAGTACATACGTACTCGTTGGCAACCAAGTGTCGTCCACTTGGTCGCTGACGGGTAGCTGCCCTTGATTGCAACCACGGCTGATCCGAGACGAGTTGGGATGAGAGGAGAAGGACGAATGTAGATAGTACCCAAGTTGTGCAGGCTGTGGCCTTTTGACTCTGGGAGCATCATAGGCGGCGCCGATTCTTGAGAGTGCGAATGGCATCCATGGAAGCAAGTTGATGAAGAAATCTTTTGCATGCCACCAACCTTGACGTGGCTGCAATGCAAGGGCTCTCGGTGGCATCTCGTCACTGCCCATGCGCTCGGGTAGGCTTGGCTTGGACACGCACCCCTTATTCCAGTGACTCAGATGGCCAGACTTTCGAAGGCATCATCTTCCTGCAAGGCAAGACATTCGTCCGCTTCCTTGTCCAGGCAGGGGCCTAGGCTGAAGGCTGGGCACCATTGGCGCGCCGTCCAGCTTGCCTGTGGTAATCCAACGTCGACGAGATGGATGATGCTCCACGAACCCCCGGCAAACTGAGTTTTGGGCCACTCAACCCGCTTCACCACCCAAGCCACCCAACCCACAATCTTGAAGTGATGCGCCGTCCCCGTCAAGGCGGCATGATAGTAGGCCATTGGACAGGTTCATCGTCGTCCCCGGCTCGGGGTCATCCAAGCACCCGCCAACCGCCAACCGCCCAAACCGCCTCAACGCCTCCCCGACACGCCTCGCCTCGCCTCGAGAGTGCTTCGACGGCTTCGAGATGAGATGGACAATTTGGCCTCGAGTGATGCGCACCGGCTTCTCCACCTTCCGCCGTAGTCTCCACCATCAGCGCTAATACGGACATGCTTTGACTTTGTTCGTCGCGCTGCCAGCAATGAATACCAGTCGACCCGACTAAAGCAGTACCCAGGTATGCAGCTCGTCGGCTCCTCAGCAAGCCCGACCGGCAACCAGATGGCAACAGGATGGTAACGGATTGATTGCTGGCTCGCCGCCCCTCTTGTTGTATGACTGTCCGCCGTACGTATGTACAATAGCAAACCGTATCACGGATGGGGCGCATATGGGGTTTGCAAGGGCCCTTGAGCAAAATGGAGGGAATTTGCGCCCCTAAGACACGTAGGCTGAAATTTCCAGATACTAGTCATCCGTCGCCCTGGTGCTGCAGTCCCCGTACTATGGCTGTGTGCCCTGCTGTTTTGAGTTTGAAATCAAATGCTTTGTTTTGACCATAGCTTGCTCACGTCCGCGCCCTCCAATCCACAAAGTCCACCGTCGTTTGGGTTCGGGGTGGCCGCTGGTCCGTCTGTCAAAGATATGTGTCCACAGTCCACAGCTCGCAGTCCGCAGTCCGCAGTTGGTGTCCAACATCGTTTCTGGGCATCGGAGAATCGTTCTTGGCCAGGGGGCTAGTGTTTTCGCCTTCTTTCTTTTTAAACTCGTGGGCCACACAGCCAAGAAGATACACCCCAGTCCATGTCAGCTCGCGCCGCTTTAGCCCATCGTTCCTTCCCCAGTGTTGTTTTTAAAACGTCCACATCCCCCTCGCCCTCGCCCTCGCCTTGTCCGCTTGTGGACCGTTGGCTTTTGATTTACTTGAGGTCTTGATATCTCCCCTTGGCAGAGACGTTGCCAGCATTCGGGGCCAACAATCGCAACGCCTGTCCATCACCGGCGGAGAGTAAACAGCAAACAGCAGTGCACTTGGTTCGACATTATTTGCCAACGCGGTGATCGAAACGGCCGAGTTGTTGCTGAGTGTGCCGTTGCTGTCGCCGCCATGTATGGCATGAACGCAAACTACGACGCCACGGCGAATAGGGATGGCGTCCCTCTCTCTACTCCAAGACCAACCCACGAGGACGAAGGCGTGGCCGCCGTCAACAACGATCCGACCAAGACCGAGGCAACTTCCATAACCGAGGGCCACAATGATGAGAAGGGGGCATCATCTGCCACATCTCTGGGCAAAGAGGACGACGATATCAAGGCAGAAATGGTTCGTCGCTCATCCGCTGTCCAGGCTCTTGCACGATCCTACTCGCGAACCTCTGCAGCTGCCGCTCCCGGACAGAACCCTTTCTTCGCCAAGGAGGACTCTCCTTTAAATCCAAATTCGCCCAAGTTCAGTAGCAGGGAGTGGGCAAAGGCCATTGTTGAACTCGTGTCGCAGGACGGTAAATCATTCCGTTCCTCCGGCGTCTGCTTCCAGAACCTTAATGTTCATGGTTTCGGCGCCGCGACCGACTACCAAAAAGACGTTGCCAACGTCTGGTTGTCGGCGGCCGGTGCTGCTCGCCAGCTAGCTGGTAGCGGCAAGCAGCGCATCGACATTCTACGCAATTTCGATGGCTTGGTTCGTAAGGGGGAGATGCTCGTGGTCCTGGGACCCCCAGGATCTGGCTGCTCTACCTTTCTCAAGACTATCGCTGGTGAGATGAACGGCATCTTTGTTGGAGACGGGTCTTATTTCAATTATCAAGGTAAGCAAAGCAAAGCAAAACAAATCAAAGCAGAAAAGCCAATGGCCTTGCACGGAAATGTACAAATATACAAACCGGGACAGTGACTGGGGTTGATTGGATGCACAGCGGAATTTGCCGTCTGTGCTGGCAAAACCCACGGATCAGATCTGCGACCGTGTTGCACCCGCCCAGAAATAACGTGGGAATAAGGGCCGGGGTGTTCCATATGTGGAACATGGCATCGGAAGATGCCGCCTCAGCCCAGCCACATCGCACAACCCTTCCAACCTGTTTGCACACCCCCAGTGAAAGACTTATTGTGGCTAACCATTGCGATGTAGGCATCTCAGCCAAGGAAATGCACACCAGACATCGCGGCGAGGCAATCTACACCGCAGAAGTTGATGTCCACTTCCCCCAATTGTCTGTTGGCGATACCCTCACCTTCGCCGCACGGGCCCGTCAACCTCGACATCTACCCGAAGGACTCCA